ACATACGTTTATTTCTTTTAAAATGTTTTGTCTCTTATATAATCACTTTAATAATTGGATACTTAATATATGTTCTGTTGAGTTCCTATTTGAGGTGTTTGACAGAAAGACAGTGGTCAGGAATAAAATTGAGCCTCAGACCTAAAAAAGATGTTTTGTTCAGTTCTTTCTCTCACTTTTATTTATTATCACATCTTCAGCCTACTCTTTCTACTTTCTCCAAGGGCTGTATGACAGTCAGGGGTGGATGCTGAGAAATCCAAGATACATCAGGGTAGCTCAAAGATCATAGGATAGGCCTGGGGACACACGAAGAAAAGAGAGAAAATAAAGAAGAAAAAGAAAGGCAAGACTAGAATGCTGATGCTTCAATTGACTCAGGAAAAAAAAAAACCTGCATGCAAGAATGAATTCAGTTGCTAAATATCCGAACTTGAACTTTCTTTGTTATTTTTAAAAAATGTGTGAATTTAAAAAACTTACTACGTGATTCTCCCTGCTTTATTGAGATATAATTAGCATATAACTGTGTAACTTTGTATACACAGAATTCATTTGAAATATTTATGTATTTCAGACTGATTTCCTTCATTATCACCTTCATCCTGTTGCATCACACTATTTTGCTTCCCTCCCAACCCCCGGTGTGAAAATTGATCCACTTTCTTAGTAAATGTTGCTCTTTTCAGTGGAGTGCTGAGCCTGGAGAAAGCTTGTAAGTTTGATCCACAGCATCACCCCATGTAACTGAGTCGGATCCTGGATTTCTACTTGGTGATCCTGCTATTGTGATTTTGACACCCCAGGCAGTAAGCAGTCTCTGACTCACTGCAAGCAAGTTTGTGTCAGTGCCACAACTCTTGGTCATTAGAGAATGACAACAACAATAAAGGGGCAGAAAGGAGAGAAAAAAACAATAAGGGGTGGTCCTTCCTTGAGATCTTCTCAACCAAAAACTGAAGCTTGTTCAACCTGTACTGGCTGCCCCCCCTACACCCTTGTACCCCCCCCCCAGTTTTAGACCCAGGATGATTAAGTCTGAGCTGCCTGCCTTTGAACATCATTGACCCCCCCCCCCCCCCCCCGGGAAGAGCCAGAACAAGCAAGAGACATTAAGAAACGTGTTCCTTGTTTAAAGAGATACTTAATCTTAGCCTTTTAATGAACTTTGCTAAAAAATTCTCTCTCCTCCCAGGCTGAATTCAGGGGCTATGATGGTACCAGCTCAGAAAAGAGGTATTATATTTTCCCTAAGCTGGTTATTAAGGGGAGTTTGGATCCCATTTTTAGCAGTCAACAGAGAAAACAAAGAAGAAGAGGAAACAAAAGTGAACAGTACAGTCCATCAGCCTACAGCCCTCCTTGCTTATAGTCCCATTCAGTAACCCAACCCCAGGTTCTCAAAAAAAACAAGAAGCATGTATAGGACAGTATGGATTGACTCCAGCTTCCTCCCTCCGTGCCTGGCAGGTTTTATTTGGGATCTGGGGAAATAAAGGCACAATCATAGTAAATGACTCAGGAGCACAGAGTAAAGCAAAGAAAGAGTTAGCTGTCCTTCAATTTCCTAGACAGGTGAGCCTACCTGGACAGTGTTCTGGAACTGGCTCTTCAGCCACGTCAGCAACTCCATCATCAGTGTACTTTGGCTCTTTGTTTGTTCTCTCACCTGATTGTTTTATTAATGCTTTGTTTTATTTTTGTGTTGGGGTCATACTGGTGGTGCTCATAGCTTACTCTAGGCTCTGTGCTCAGGGATCATTCCTCTGGTGTTGGAAAGTAAGGGGACCAATTGCAATGTGGGAATGGAACTGGGAAAGATGCACGTAAGGCAAGTGCTATAATCTTTGTACTATTTCTCCAGCTCTTGTGTGTGTTTTTCTTTTCTGGTGCAGGTGCCCCTTCTAGAGTGGCTTTCCTACCATGTATCTGAGAGATGCCACCATTATGCAGGTCTCCACGTTGGAGATTCATGTCTTGAGACCTTACTCCAGAGAGCAAGTTTAAATGCTGCTGATAAATGCTTTAGACTTTGTATTTGAAGTTCACAGATAGTTGATTAAACAGCTGGTTGCCCCATAAATATCTGTCTTTACCCACATTTCCAAGGAAGGAAAAGCCATTTGTTTTTCTGGACCAAGAAGAGAGTTACGCCCTCAACACCAACCAGCTTTCCTTCACCTCCAATGTATGGCTCATGAATTGCCTCTTTTACTCTTGAATGTTTTTCACTTTCTAAAATCTTTCATTCTAGAGGCAGGGATGCACCACGCTCCCTGGACTGAGCACAGTAGATGACATCTGGTATGTATTCAGTTATCTAGATCTGTGCTCAATTAATCTCCTAGTGAATAAAATGCCAAAGTACCAAGAGGAATTCATGGTTATTTCCTCAAATGGTTAACTTGCTTGCCTGTCAATACAGTTCTGGGGGCACCATTAGAAATCATATTATTTTGTGTAAATATCAACCTAGAGTTATATGATAGATTACCATTGGCCTCTAATATAATGTCTACAATAACTGCTCCAGATACGCACAGTATTTTAAAAATATGAATCTGGAAACAGTATGTTTCTTTTGAAAGTCAGTTTTAACAAGTAATTTTGGTTTCATCTACAGTTTTCTTAATGTAGGTATAGGGCATATTCTGAAAGTTTGACCACCAAATTTAAGGTAATGAGGAAAATAAATCCACTTAGAGATACCTTATCACTTTATTACAGCTCTAAGACTTTTCATTGGATAAAAGAAAACATGTTTGGACGAATAGAAAAATATTTATAAAAAGTCTGTGTTGGTATATTGGTTTTGAAAGAAATAACTCCAAAACCAAATGATGGAAATGTTAACCTGATGTGTTTAATTTGGGAGGTTTTGGCCAAGACTGGGTTCCATGGATCGATAAATCAAATAAATTCACTGAGCCAAATCTTTAGATTGCCATTTTCAGACTCGTGAAGGAATCTAAGAGTGTAACCACACAGGATCTTAGCCGAAGTCCTTTGCCAAAACATATAAATACTTCTAGACACTCCTTCCACATGGACAAGAAATCTACATAAATCTGACTTCTAGAGAATGCCTCTTTTACATAGATTCAGCTGGATGTGTTTTACACACTAAGTAATTCCATTTAATGGACAGAGACTAAACTCAGATTTTAAACAAATATGTTTGGTGTGGAAAATAAAAAGAACATAGAAGGAATTGAAGGGCCCACACCCATACTTCTATAGAAAAAAATAATTTTCTTACTTTCTAGCAGTACAGATCCCCTGAGCTAAAGACCTACCTTCAGTTAGAGTGAACCTTCCAGCTCTCCTACAGGCAAGTTGCAACCATATGCCAATGAATGTCAAAGGCATTATCTACCAATGAATTGGTTCTAAGTGGCTGCCACTCCACATTCCTCAGTCTTGAGCAAAACTGTACAGCTGCCTACATCTTAAAATCAGTGACAGTTTGGGCCCGAGTGATAGCACAGTGAGTAGGACATTTGCCTTGCACGCGGCTGACCCAGGTTCAATCCCTGGCATCTCATATGGTTCCCTAAGCACCACTAGGAGTAATTCCTGAGCACAGAGCCAGGAGTAATCCCGGAGCATCGCTGGGTGTGACCCAAAGAGTAAAAAAAAAAAAAATCAATGACAGTGTTAGGAAGCCTACCTTTTCTCTCTCCTTTGCTGAAATGTTAATAACTTCCTGTTGCTTTCCTTTGTAAACTTGAAATCATTTGTCTTAAAATAAATAATGTAAGTGAATTTGTTTTGACCTCTCTAGTTTTATGTTTAGATAATCTTTTCTTACCTAAGATCATTGACACCACACACACACACACACACACACACACACACACACACGCACGCACGAGTGCCACTCACATTGCAGCCTACTCTTCAGCCATACCTAATTATGTCCAGAATTGGAAATGGCCCACATTTTCTGAAGTTCAGTCTTCTACACATGCATACCCTCGGCTCCCAACAACCTACCTTTCCTTATGCACTTGGCTAATGTCTTTCAAATTGAGATTCCGTATTAATGGTGCCTCCTCTCTGATGCTCTCCAAATGCCTTCACATGAGGCTTAGTTATCTCTTTCTTGTGCTCCCACAGGTCCCAGGGCTTTAAGCACTACCATTATGTCATATTCATAAATTCCTAATTTGATTCCTCCCAATAAACTAAAATATCTTAAAGGATAAGAACCTCAATCCTGTTTCAGTAAAACCAACTTAACTAAACAGACGACAGAGAAATAGTACATGGGCTAAGTACTTAATAGTACTTACTATTACCAGGGTTAAGGTGTTCAAGTGACTGGCCCTGATACAATCACCGGCACTGCATGGTCCCCTGAGCTCTGCTAGAAGTGACACCTGAACAAAAATCCAGGTATAGTCCCTGAGCACTGTTGGAAGACGCCTAATTACCACTTCACCCCAAACCAAAAATAACACAATAATTCATTGCTCTCCTATCATCCTTCTATTTTTTTTGCCATCCAACTTGAACAAAATCAGAAAGTAAAAAGTTGATATATATTAAGTTGATGGAGAATCCTATAAAATCCTGATATATTTTAATTCTTCTATTGCTAATTTCTTTTACACTTGTGCCTTAAATATTTTATACACCTGGAAATTCTACTAAATCAGTGCTTACAATTCAGTGCAAACTGTATTTTGGCGGGGAAAATGTTCAGAAAGAAAGGCTGCTAATTTGAAAAGATTTGATGGTAGTTTTATCCAGTTTTTGATGAAACCAATTGACATAGAATATGTTCATGGAAGGAAATAGATAGAAGATGGGATGTTTATGGGAGAAACACACACACACACACACACACACACACACACACACACACACACTACAAAATCTGCATGCACAGAGTACTCCAAAGCCTGGCTTATCTTCCTTATGTGGAAACCAGCCAGCAGCACAGTTACTTTGGGAGGAACGTGCTCTACTAACAACAGCCTTGGCTGAATCCTTACCCTTTGGCCTGGTGAGCCGTCACGTCCAGGGGACCCAACACCTCCCGGAACCCCCTAGGGAGAGCAAGGATAGAAAAGTCAGATTCAAGGAAATCAAGTACCCGGGCACCACTGAAATTTATAAAAGCCTTCAAACAAAATTCAGCATCCAGGGGAGGTGACCCTGAGGGAGAACTCAGAGCCCAGAACTTATTCATAGGCAAGAACTCTCCCCGAGGGGAACTCATTCACACTGATAGCACTGAAGGTAAAGGAATTCAGACATCAGGCTGCAACAGAGGACCAGGCATTGCCAGAAACATGGAGAATACCAGCAAATATAGATTCTTTTGACTTAGCAGAGCTAAGAGCAGAGGACTAGAAAAATAAAAATAATACCTGTGGGCCAGGAAGGCCAGTCTCTCCTTTATCTCCTTTTTTGCCTGGCATTCCCTGAATATTTAAAAGTACACGGTTAAGTTCACATAGATAAAGTCTTAGTCTTCTCGTTATTCTCCACTGACTATTTTAACATTTTAAACATTCAATTCTTTCATGCTACCAACCAAATATAGCATATTTCACATCTCACATATGCTCCACCACTTATGTAAGCATTCCTATGGGCTGGGCATTTCTGTTAGAAGAGTTTAAACAGAAATCTCAGTCAAGTGTGGGAAATTCCATACTGTAAAAATGTAGGGGAGAGTTTGCGCATTCCAATATTAATCATAGTTCAGATGTTCAAGCTCTATCTATGTGGATTTTTTTTGTCTTGGCTAGAAATTTCAAAGAATGGAAAAGCAAACAGGACACTTGGCAGGCAGTAAGTCCTAGGCCACGTCTTGGGAAGAGTAGCAGCAATTGTTCATCCTGACATGCTAATGCTTTCACAAATGTAAAACTAACCCTGGAATGGTAAACTCCTTAGCTGGGGAGATACAGTCATATGGCCCAAAAAATTGCTAAAAATGTAATTCAAATAAATCTGTGTGCTTTAAATACTACTGTGTGCAGCAATTGGTTTTATAATTTAAATCTAGATTCTTATAGTGAGATGAATGAGGCTTAGTGAGTGGAATTTAACTGACTTTTAATGGCACAAAGAGCTTCTAACAGAGTGATGTAGCGATAGAAACTCTACAGTCTAGAATCTGAAACATGTGCTCAGTGCCTCGACTTAAATGCCAGTTGAGACAGATCAAAAGAAATGACTCTAGAATCTACATGCACAATAAAGAATAACTTAAATTTGTGTAAAATTGGTTGCTTTCTAGATTCTATCATGTTCCATTTAGGACTTAGTCAAACAAGGAAACAATGGCGGATATGCCATGCCTTGTCTTACTTCTCCAGACAAATCGCTTGTGAATATACCTACTCCTCAGGTGTGTGTGTTTGAAACAGACCTCTGTCACTGAACAAGAAAAGAGGTTAATGAGTAGACACACCCATTACTTTCATGTTTCGATTTTCATTTTAGGAGTTGAAAGGATAAGGGGCTGGCGCTCATTATGAACACACAGAGGGCAAAAGTTCATTGTCTTGATCACTCATAAGTAATCAAAATAAGAGGTAACAGTAAAAGCCATCTGAATATTTACACAGAACTCACAGGCATTCCTTGTATAGACAAACCACTTGGTCCTTGGGGTCCAGGGGGACCCTGAGGTCCTTGGGGGCCTATAGTTCCACGAGGGCCTTCTGGTCCCTGTGGAAACATAAAGAAAAATTATTCCAGAAGTGAATTAGACCCTCTGGGTCCTGGAAGATATTTCTTCAGTAGGCAATATAATTTACTTCCTTAAATAATATTCCCCAAATCATGAAACCCTCATCACATATTAAGATACTAATATGACTCCCATCCCAGGCAAAATGTCACCAGTAAACTAAGAGCACACACACATAGGTTGCTACAGATTTTGTTTTGCTTCCATAAATAAGAATGGTATAGTAATCATGAACTCCCCCACACTTCACAACAAATTGAAAGATATAAATGCTTCAAGATGACTCTCTTGGTCCATGAAGGTTTATACTGCCCATCTGGCTTCCATTCTCTCTTCTTCCATGTTCTTCAATCCCCAATCTCTCCTGCAGTTATGGAGATTCTGTACCTAACCTTTCTCTTCTTCTTCACCTTGACCCTCATCATCTGTCTCTTCAATGTCAACTGAGGGACTTACCCAAAGATGGTGATTTCCTTTCTTCTAACAATCAGGTATTCCTTTTCATTTGGCAACTAATACTATTAAGTTTGGACCTTGTTGTTGTATAGGTAACATTATACAACCTCTGTAATACAAAGTTCACTTGTGTATTTCTAAGTTGTTGTATAATATATGAAAAATATATAATATATAAAGCTGTATAATATATGGAACTGTAATATACAATGCACAACACTGATTTACCTTAATTTCTTTTCCCCTTTTTCCTTCTCAGACTCCAATTAAAATTATTATTAGATAAATTCAAACTCCAATCCCTGGGTATCATCTGATATTAAACTCCAGATGGATAAAAATGTAACTGGGACAAAGCACTCCAGAAGGGAAAACCTAGCATAACATGGGGATAAATAATAACTGGAACTAGAGACCTGCTAAAGGTGTGTAGGGGTAACCACAGAGAATAGAAATGAAAATATGATAAACATAGAAATGTCCAGTGATATAGGATTCATGTAAGAGCTGAAATGGGATGATTTTGGAGTAATTTATTAGGGAGTCTGGAAATAGTATCCAAGGAGAAATAAATCAGGGTCATACAAAAAGGAAAAAGCGAAGAGAGAAGAGAAGTCAGGAGAGAACTAAGATGAAAAAGACTAAGAATAAGGAAAATGAAGACAAAAGATGTAACGGCACAGAAAAGGCTGAAGAAGAAGAAAATTAAAACAGGTGACTAATCATGTCAAATGCTACAGAGATCTCAAGTAAAGTACGAAATATACCATGGCTCATGGGTTTGGTAATGGGGAAGTGTTTGTGTTTTTGTTTTTTTTGCTTTTTGAGTCACACCCAGCGATGCATAGAGGGTTACTCCTGGCTTGCAGTCAGGAATTACTCCTGGTGGTGCTCAGGGGACCATATGGGATGCTGGGAATCGAATCTAGGTTAGCTGAGTGTAAGGCAAACACCCTACCCACTGTGCTATCGCTCCAGCCCTGATTTTAATGAAAAGAATTTCTACAGGACTCAAAGAAACTAGAAGTCATATGTGAGTTAAAAACTATTTTGATTATCTGTAAATGGAAGCAATCACTATGCACACTTTTGGATTCTGTTCTGTTTGCGCTTGTCTAACCTCTTCTGTTTTGCGGCACATTTCAGTAATATGTTTCTTCTCATTACTGAGTAGTTTTTACATCCAGGGATATACAGAAACATTTTGCTCATTTACAATTAATGGACATTTTGATCACTTCCAAGTTTTATACTATTAATGATAAAAGTGTCACAAACATTTATGCGTCAAAAAATTATTTAAGGAGTAAGAATGCACAAAACTTGGAGAAAACCATTCTTAATGAAAAATAATGTAAAAGGAAGGCAGAGGTCAGGTAGTTGAAATTTTAAAAGTATGATGGAGCCCGGCAAGCTACCGAGAGTATCTCGCCCGCACGGCAGAGACTGGCAAGCTCCCCGTGACGTATTCGACATGCCAAACACAGTAACAACAAAGTCTCCAATGGAGACGTTACTGGGCCTGCTCGAGCAAATTGATGATCAACGGGAGGGCCTTTACCTTTCCCTTTTACCTATGATGGAGAAGAAGAGTAGATGATTTATAAATATAACTTATTTATAAGAGGTTAGTCATATATTGCTTATATTTATTGAGTGGTCGTGAATGGAGTAAAAGGGCAGAAATTAAGTGAATTTGTTTTATTTTGCAAAGCACAAAGTGAAAATGATGAGAGATCAGAGAGGGTGTGACACTGTACTTCTAACTCTTTTTGAAGGTAGCATTACAGAGGATCGCACTCAGGGGCTTACCAAAGCAAGACACGTGATCTGTCCCAGAGTCACCCCCCAGCCCATAAACTTTTAATTTCTTATCATCTGTTTGCAATGACTGCAATAGAGTATTAAACAAAACAAAAAAATGCCTATCATAAGCCTCCCTTATGGGAGAGATGGTTTATTTCTTCCTGTTGGATGTTGTTGAGCATCCATTGTACAGGGTTTATTTTCCTAAAAGTCACTGCTTACTTTTACCTGTGATTTATAAAACATCATATATATTTTTCTTTTTTTTATTGAATTTTTTAATTGAATCACTGTGAGATACAGTCACAAAGTTGTTCATGATTGGGTTTCAATCATGCAATGTTCCAACATTCATCCCTTCAACAGTGTGAATTTTCTACTTGTCACTTCATATATTTTTATATATGAAAATAAGAAAAAATATATATAATTTTCATATATTTTGCATAAAAATAAGAAATGATCAGATTGAGAATTGATGGTAAAAGGCTACATTTTGGGCACTGTAGCACTGGAGCACTATCCTCCTGTTGTTCATCAATTTGCTCGAGCAGGCCCAATAACGTCTCCATTGTGAGACTTGTTGTTACTGTGTTTGGCATTTTGGGATCATCAAATAATCTTTTTAAAATGTCTCCATAGTCAGAACCATCATCCAATCAGAATTTAGAAAAATAATAGGTTAATGCATTAGCGGTGTTGGAGGAGGGAGACAGAATCCACTTGGTACATTGTACCACCCTTGGGTGCAACAAAGGAAGATCCAGCTTACCACTGTATAAGACCTTCAAATCACAAGTTATTATTTTAGCATGCAAGAAATTTCAGATGCATACACAGACACAAGTCTGAGCCTGAGAAATGTACCAAAATCTCAGATAATAAAATGAAACAACGAAAGTCAGCTATCGTATGATCTAAATTGAGTCAACTAGCACTCGATTATCTTTTCCTCTTTTTATTTACTCCTTTTCAATCCATATTCTTTCCTACCAGGTTTCACTTATTTCTACTTTTACAGAAAAAAAGAAGGTGCAATGATTTCTTCCTCGTTTAGTATGTCCTCATTATGAAGCAGTAAATCAGGCTAGATTTGTGATTATGTATAAAAACATTATAAAAAAGAGAGAGGAGCCAGGTAAGAAAAGTTCTTAAATACCAGTCAAGGAGGAACAGTTTTATTTTCAGCACAAAAGGATAAGACTTCCAATTTGAAGACTCTGATATGACTGAGCATAATCTTTTTGTTGGCCTTTTGGACGGTATCTGGCAGTGCTCAGGAATTGTTCCTGGTTCCAGCTCTGGGATCACTCATATTGGGGTTTGGAGGAATGTGTGGTGCTAGGGTTCAAATATAGGTCAGCCACAAGCAGGGCAAGCATCATACCCACTGTACTATCTCACTGGCCCCGTCAAGCATACTGGGAGTAGATATAAAAATTCATCAGAAAACTAGTGGCTAGACTTCTGCTATCCCTTAGGATACTTTTGTGCAAGGTATAGTACATGGGTGTGTCTTTGCCTTTAGATTGGTGTTTTTATTCAGTGTTTAAGCTTAACTACCAGGATTGATGCCTTGACCTGGGAGAATGGAAAATAGAGCTATGAACTGATTTACAAAGTGGAAAGGGAGAAGGAGGAATCTATAATCTGAGAAATTGTCACTAGTAGATAGGGTAAGACATCTATCTACTAGTGATCCATTGCTTCCCCCCCAAAGACACATTTTTGTTATAGCTAAAGGAATAGAAGAATGTACAAGACAGAATACTCCTTTGGAGACTAAAAGACTTAAAATATTAACAATCTGTATCTAAGCCCAACAGATTTTTAAAAACACCGAGCTATTAAATGTTTGAAGAAAGAGCACAAGTATTTTGAAATGGGAAAAAGAGTATATGGGCGGCTTTTATTTTAAAAATATTTTAGGAGATTTGGATTACAGAGAGGGTAAATTGTACTTCACTCCAAATTACATTACCTTTGGGCCCTGTTCACCACGCTGGCCCTTTGGTCCTCGGACTCCTGGGCCACCCTAGCAAACAGCAAAGAGTAGTTAGCACAAAGGCAAATCCTCAGGCAGAATATTTCCCCTACTTCCTTTAATAACATGAATTATGTAATTCTTATTTTGTATAAAGGCCAATACATTGTATAATGGCACATATTCATGATGACCTTACCTGGAATTTACCACCCAGGCCCAGCTCTTTTGCTGATGGCTTCATAATCTGAGAAAAATTTCTATGCCACTTCCTTTGAAATTTTAAATAGTTTTAAATTCAGTGCCTAAGACCATTGCTGCTAATAGATACAAATAAAAAATATATACAACTAATAAAAATCTATATATATGTTATACTAAAATTCTGAGATTAAGATCTTTAGTGGAATTGCAAAAAAAACAAAAATAATTTATTTTTTCTGACTTTAATTATGTCACTGATAGTCTGTTACTTATATTTCCCTCAAGACTTTTACTCTATTCGTACCATTATTTAACAGCATTTTATTTACATAGATATATATTTGAATATATAGTCTATACAAATCTGCATTATTCATGTTTGCGTATATCCTCATGTAAATACTGACTCATTATTTCGCTTAAATAAATATATTTTAAAAACCAATATAGCACTAGTCAATAAAAATTCATTACTTGTAGAGTTCATGCCCAATTCCATCAGCCTAATCAAAGGCTGAATAAACAGCAATACTCCTACATTAAAATAATTTTTAAAAATTTAATAAAATTCATTACTTATTAAACATGAACACATTACTTATTCACTGATGAATTATAAATAAAGGTAAAGGTAAAGGCCCTCCCGTTGATCATCGATTTGCTCGAGCAGGCCCAGTAACGTCTCCATTGGAGACTTTGTTGTTACTGTGTCTGGCATATCGAATACTCTCGGTAGCTTGCCGGGCTCTCCGAGAGGGGCGGAGGAATAATATTAAATATATACTGTAAATATTTCTATTAAATTTAACTATCATTTGTTCTTATTTACGTATGCAAACCGGAAGTTTGTCCTATTAAAAAGGAAGATAAACAAGCATTAGTAGGTCATCTTGATACCAAACTTTTATTTTCTTTTTCTTTCCTTTTCTTCTCTTTTCATTTTTTCTCTTCTCTCTCTTTTCTTTTTTTTGATAGGAGCCCCACTTGGAGGTGCTCAGGCATACTCCTGGTTCTGTGTTCAGGGATCATTCCTGGTGGTGCTCAGAGGACTGTACATGTTACCCAGGATTTGAATGAGGGTTGGCCACATGCAAGGTAAGTAAGTGCCTCATTTCCTGTACTAGAGAATATCTCTTTTGATTGGGTAAAAGGATTAAAAGATAACTGGAAATGAAATTACTAACATTTTCACTACATGATTTCAATAAATCTATTATGCTACTGGCAATCATTTTGTACGGCAACAGCATCATTTGGGGGAAAGAATAGATGTGATCCATTTTCAAGTTTCTTCTAACTGGTTGAAATCATTAAAAGTCATCCCCCAATCCAATATAAGTTGGTTGCTTCTCTCTAAGTATTTCAAATGTCCTCCCGTTGTTCATCGATTTGCTAGAACGGGCCCAGTAACATCTCCATTTTGAGACTTGTTGCTACTGTGTTTGGCATATTGAATACGTCACGAGAAGCTTGCCAGGCTTTGCCGTGCGGGCGAGATACTCTTGGTAGCTTGACTGGGCTCTCCGAGAGGGGCAGAGGAATTGAATCCAGCTTGGTGGGGCTCGCTGCGCACAAGGCAAACGCCCTATTGCTGTGCTATTGCTCCAGCCCATTTCAAATAAAGTTATTAAATTTTATTTTATGTAAGTGTATGTGTGTGTATGTGTATCTATAAGAGATATTACCTCCAGGATATTTGTGATGTTATTTGAAGGAAATAGGTTGTATATGTGAGGCTATACATTTAGATAGAGTTCTCACTTTTTAAAATTGAGGTGATAATGATTTACAATATTCTGTTTGGAGGGGGGCACAGGTCCACTTTAAGCTTTGATGTTTAACATGTTTTACATATTTCTCTGTGATTAAAACATGACTAATTTAATATGCATTTACATATTATGCATGTATTATGCATTTTGAGTACTATACCTTTAACTGTTGCAACTAATATGCATGTATATTATGAATATATATATAGTCTGGAGAAAATGTAACTTTACATACATGAGCGCAAAGTCAAGAGTAATCCCTGAGCAATTCGGCATGTGGCCCCAAGGAAACAAAAGCCAAAGAGATAGCACAGGGGGAAAGATGCTAGTACATGGCTGACACTGGTTCAGTCCCAAGAACTCCATATAGGTCTCTTAATACCACCAGAACTCCATGAGCACAAAGCCAGGAGTAACTCCAGAGCACAGTTGGGTATGCCCCCCAAACAATGAAAAAGTAATAAAGTCCTTGTGCCTCTCTTGTGTACACATGTTAATGCTGAAGATAACAGAAACTAGAAACAGAATTTGATGAATAGGCAGAAAAATTGCCAAAAAGTTAGGTCAAGACTTTGAGAGAACCCTCTTTCTCCAAGTTTTACTCAACATTTAATATTGCCAAATATTACATTTTTGCCAACCCAATAATACTTTAGTGACATTTAAATTTTTTATTTCCCTGAAAACTGTAGTTAAGTGTCTTTTATAAGCCTTATCTTCTATTGCATAAATGTGTGAAAACTATGTGTTTGGGGGATATTATACCTTTAATTGCTGCAACTATTTCCCCCTCCCCCCAGTATGATAAAAACTATTGCTTGGAAATTACATTTCCTGACTCCCTTTTTCATTTAATTTCTGCCCCTTAATGAGGTTTTAAAAAGACTGAAATTTACTTCCCGACCCTCCCTTGCAACCAGGACTGTTTTGCTAACCAGTTTGAGCCAATTTGATCAAGAACCAACAAGTCTGAGGAAAGCAACGTGAAATGGGCTGGGATCCTTGGAGAAGTTGTTGGGCAGCTTCTTTGCCGTGGAACAATGACTGTATGGACAACCCAACAGTTTACACTGTTTTTTGTCACATGTCTTCTTTTTTGCAAAAGTCCAATGATTCTCAATTAACATATTCAGTCGGATACAATTCTTTAATTTTTTTACACAATTTTTTTTCACATGAAACTTTCATCCAATATGACTGCTTGACTCACAGATATTTGTGCCAAAGGTACCATTTCTACATGTCAGGGACCATTTCATCATTTTAAACTAATATTTCACATTACAACTAACCTCCAACATTGAGCACATGACAAGAATTCAACAAAATGTTTGTGGACATAACTTGCATTTCTTTAATAAGAACGGTTGGTTTAGGCTATGGGAATGATTCTTTTGACCATGCCTTTCTTTCTACTGCTCTTTTTTGGCGCCTACACCTATATAAATTCTTGATTATAATTGATTGAAAATAATCACAATGATGATAAATCAAGCAGAGTTTGTGACAAATTGGTTGGCATACTATCTCTCAGGTAGTTTATTATACTTAAGAGATTTGATCCCTTCAATAGCTTTTCTCCTTTGCAATATCTTCCTTCCCTCTAAGTTAGACTCAACCTTTGTCTTTCACTTCTCTGCTGCTTTGCTCTCACTGTGAAGTTTGATTCTTAGCTCCTATGTAAATATTTTATAACTTATTCCAGTTGCAGTTGAAAACCCTCAAGCTAAAGAAGCTTATTAATGATGTTTAAAATACAAAAACAAACATTACCGTAATTAAGAACTGAACCCTTACATTCCAGGAATGAAGAAGAAAGGAAACGTTAATGCATCAGGCATAAGGGCTGAGACTGGCCTGGGCGAGGAGGGGGACAGGGGTGCAGGCTTGCTGCAAAGCTCTTATTTTATGGGCTGTACAAGGCAACGAAATATCAACAGGTGGGGGAGGGTAGAATACAAAACATTCTTGAAATTTGAGGAACTTGAAAGGTTGCACTCTGAGAACGCCAGGGAAGAATGTCTACTAGGAGATGAATGGCCAAGAAGTTGTTCCCATTTAGCAGTGGGAAGCACAGGAAATGTCTCTGCTGAGAAATATCACTGAGAAGTTGATTCTCACACTGTCCAGGGACCAGGATTCACATCGTGTATGAGTATCAAGTAAGACTATGAAGTTAAAACTCTAAGGTCCTTTCTGTTTGGTTGCACACACAGGAGCTTAGCAGAAGCAGATGTATGTATTCAAATCACTATGTCTTGAAAACTTCCATTGATAGCATTTCAAGAAATAGAAATTCAAATAGACGCCAAAAGAATACCACAAAGTACAGATGGAAACAAGATAACATAAGCAAAGTCAGCAGAAGAAGAAATGGCAGAATGAGAACCAACTCTGTTGTAGTTATTGAAATGATCAATTAAGAACACAGGCTCATTTCAGAAAGATTTTAAAAATGAAAGTGTTGCAAAAGAACAGACAACACAAATGACCAGTGGGTTTGAAAAAGAAAACAAAACTTATAGGCTAAATATAACGTCACAACCAGAAACAAAATGGATAGGCAAATAAACATATTCAACTAAGTTACACATAGAATGTGCTGAAGGGTAAGTTTGAAGAAGTTACACAAAATTAAACTTAGGGAGACAGGTAGAAAATAAAAAGAGGTTAAGAGATAATGAAATAAAAATTAGAGCTATAATACCCACCCTGTTGGAGATTCAAAACACAAAAGAGATGATAAGAGAGAGGCAACATTCAAGGAGAAAATGACTCAGCATATTTCATATTTAATGAGAAACTCACGAAACCTCAAGATTGATAAAAAGCAGAACAGCAATAAAAATCAACACAAAAGCGTATTGTACTGAAACTTTGACTCACTAAAGACAGAGGACTTTTGAAAGGAACCAGGGATAAAGGATTCCTCACAGTCCACAGAATGACAATCAATTCGACTGACAGCCGACTTTTCAAAGGCAACAAGGGAGGCTATAAAACACTATAATAGCATCTGCAAAATGTTCAGAGAAAATAACGGTTAATCTAGAATTGAATCCTCAGTTAATTACATCGGAAGTTTGTCTGTTCATTTTAGCTGAGATCAATATTAAACTCTAAGCAGGTCCATACTAGAACAGCTCTCAGAGGAAGGCAGTGGGACGCCATGGGAGCTGCCATATTACTGCTCTAATCTAAGATATTACTTATTAAATGAGCTTGCTGTCAGAACCACATTCTAGCCTGTAGAGCTGTAGAAAATGGTCAAGAGAGGCATTTAGTTTTTATTTAAGCACCCAAGGGCTGCATATGCCATTTCTTTCAGTGGTCAGAACTTAGTCATAGGTCAAGTCCACCTGCATTGATACTAAGAAAGCAGAGTCTTTGCTAAATGACCATGTACTTGACTGAAACACTCGGGATTCTATTACAAAAGTGAAGCAATGGCAATGAATATGGGGAACAATCTCTAAGACATCCATCAAAACTATCTCTATAGTAATGGGACGTACAAGCAAAAGCAGAGAAATTTACTATCAATAGTGCCTCTGAAAGAAATATCCAAGGGATGATTAAAAATGAGTAGTTATGAATACAGAAATTCATAAATGAATATATCAGATAATATTGCTACCATTCAAAGACAAGTGAAAACTTGCTCAATTTCAGTAGCAGGGAAAGTAAATCATATCCAAAATAGCAAGGGTGCAGGTCTAGTAGTTATCAGGTCAAAGAGCATGTTCCTGGCCGAGAGCATCAGATAGGGTGCATAGAAGGAGACCCCTGGGGCCACAATATAAGGTGCTGGTGATTGGTCAGAGTCAGCAGTGTGCAAGGCAAGTACCTTACGCTATTATTATCTCTCCAGCTAAAAACTGAATACTTCTGTCATCATTCACATTTGCTTCTTTGTGGTAGTTTTTTTTTTTTTTAAGTATTTGGGTCTCTGTGAAAGAGACTGCTGGAACTACTACCTTGAAGAGAAGATTAGATGCAAATGCCTTCTTGAAGTTGAACAGGCATGTTCCTTATCCCCCTCAAATCTTATTCTAAGTGTTTGGGGGTTTTTTTTTGGTTTGTTTGTATTTGTTTTGGAAGATGATTGAAATTGAACCCAAGGGCCCTTATCTGCCTTTATCTCTCCTGCCCCACTAAGTCATGTTTGCAAAGATGAATACAAAGAATTTCCACAGTAGTAAAAATAGTATTGTGGAAACAGTCTACAGTAATGGGTCGATAAACTGTAATTTATAAGAATATGGCAGGTACAAGGAGTGATCTATATAATTAACATTCTTAGGGTGCAAAGACATGCCTTTGAGTGAAAAGTAGCAAGTCAAACACAGTTGAACACAAATATTTATTTTTAATAGCTAGGTTTAAAGCAACACCTTATATTTATTTTAAAATTTTATAATGTATGATATTTATATGCACGTTCCTCAGAATGCCAGATGATGAGATCAGCGCTATTTTACATATGTGGTAATGAAGGTTGTGATTTAGTACCTTACCTAGTTTTATGATTTCAATTAAATACTTCCTTTGCATTTTTTTTGTGTCACACTCACCTGTTCTCAGGGCATACTACTGGCTCTGTCCTCAGGGATTACTCATGGCTCTGTGCTCAAGGGACAATATAAGGTGCTGGTGATTGGTCAGAGTCAGCAGTGTGCAAGGCAAGTACCTTACCCCATTATTATCTCTCCAGCTAAAAACTGAATACTTCTGTCATCATTCACATTTGCTTCTTTGCGATAGTTTTTTTTTTTTTAAGTATTTGGGTTCTACAGAGTTTGAAAACACGTTTATGAGCCCAGGATAAGAACAAACTGGACTGGATTCCAGATACACTAGGCAGGTTCTCTTTCCTTATGTTCAGTTTAGGAAATATGGTGCATACATGAAGGGAAATGGGGCAGGGGGAGACAAGCCGGAGGGAATTTCTGTGCAGCTGGCAGGTGGCGGGCGTGACTTCATGCTGACCCAATAGGCCCCACCTTCAAGCCAACATGCACACAATCTGGTGGCGATCAGTGAGTTCCTCCTTCCAAGGGCGTTTCTTTATCTACATGTGCATCTTTTCCCTAATCCCAGTCTGCCCACCTTGGTACATTTACCATTTCCTCACCACAGACCAGCTCTAGTATCCCTGTCTTCAAGAAACATTGAGAGTCCTCATTTAGCAGGCTATCATATAAGCACATAAGCATTGCATCAAATAAGCCCACATACAGTACAAAAGATGTACCACGGTAGATTAAAAGAAATATAAAATCTATTTATTTACATTGTTACACTTTAAATGTAGTGACATTGTTAATTGTCTCTTTTCTTCTTCCCTTCTCTCACCCTCCTCTTTTCCCCACTTCCACCCCCTCCCAGCCCCTTTCTTTCACTTCTGTTTTGTAGAAAGTTCTAGACAGCAATGGAGAAACTCTTGCTCTGATAGTGTACTAATCGTGATGCATAAAACTTCTTCACTTTACAAGCCAACTTTTACACAGAATAAGGAAAGGGCACAGAAGCAAATATCAAGGGTACAATCCAAGGTTCAGTGAAAACCACAGGATATAATGGAAGATTTGGAGGGCCAGAGAGACAATACAGTGATTAAGGTGCTCGCCTAGCAAGTGGCCAATGCTGGTTTAATCCTCGGCACCCCCTCTGATCCCCTGAGCATGCCAGAGTGATACCTGAGCAAAGAACCAGGATAAGCCCTGAGTGCTGTCCAGTGTGGCTCCCGAGGAGGGTCATCAGATGGTAGTGTGGCTAAGGGCAGTGACAGGGATCCGTATTTGAAGAGCTGCTCCTCCAAGCTGTGCTCTTCTTCAGAGGAGATTCCCAAGCAATGCTGAAGCATTCTGGAGTATGGCCTGATCTATGCCTGACAGTTCAATGCTTATGTTGGGTGATGTGGTTCTGCTGAAGCCCAGAGATGCTTGGGGGAGGGGGGGATCCAGGCATGAAGGACAGGTTCTACTGTGCCTTTCGGTCCTAAGGATAGAACTCAGGGCCTGGTACATATGTGCATTTGTTGGGACATCACCCAGGCCCCCAAGCCGTGTTTTTCAGAGAGTTTCTTTACATCTCCTGCTCTAATACTCTTTTATGAATAAGTCAATGTTTAGGACAGTGGCCAGCATAGCACATGTTAGACAAGTGATCACCATAACTATTACTAAAACACATTGATGTTCAAAGCAGGCAAGGCTTACCGGTGGGCCTGCTGGTCCCAGAGTCCCTTTGCTGGCTTCAGAGCAAGAGCAGGAATGGGGAAGGTCTGGGCAGGTTTCATCGTCCCTCTAGGAGAAGAAAAAGAGGGAGATAGTTCACTGGACTATTGTATATACAAACAATTTAAGACACTTTAATTTTTTTAAGTGAGCAGTCATCTAGAAAGGCAAAGAGTATTCTTTCAACAACAAAATCTTTTCTTTGAAGAAAAATGAACATCTAGTAGATTTATTGATAGTAATCATTGATAGAGAGTGTTGGTAAATCCAGCTGGGAATCCCAGAAAAGAAGTCACAAATAAAATTAAAATTACTGTATCTATAATAAAATAAACATACAAACAACAACAAAAAATAAATTTCAGGCAACAATCTACTGCTCGCATTCTGTGATGGAAAACAACAAAAAAGTCACAAAAACAATCTAAGTCTTTAAAAAAATTATTATTTTTTAGAGCCACGCTTGGTGGTACTGAGGGATTATTCCTGGCTCTAAACTTAGGGTTCACTCTTGGTGGACTCAGAGGACCATCTGGGGTTCTGGGGTTTGAACCCAGGTTGGCTATATGCAAGAGAAGTGCCTTATATGTTGTCAGTATTACTTGAGTAAGTCCTGAGCACTGCTGGTGTGAACATAAAACAAAAACAATAACAAAAAGGTTTTAGCACATTTCCAGATTAAAAAAAAAAACCTTTTGCTAAAATATCTGGTATGATGTGCTAGGGAAAAAAGAAAACTTAGTATTTTATCCCACTTCCAAATTCCACTATTTAACTGCAGTTATCACAATATCAGTGTCTCTGGAATAACTGTCTAGGAGACTTTACTGAAAAATTAGTCTGACGAAGAAAGTCAGTGACTTCCTTCTCAAACAGTCACAGATATTTGTTGCCGGTAATAAATTAGGGCTTATTAAGCACTTTTATTTTGCTTTTTGAGTTACAGCCAGAAATGTTCAGAGGTTACTCCTGCTTATTCCTGGCTCTGCACCCAAATTACTCCTAGCAGTGCTCAGAGGACCACGTGGGTTGCTGGGGATTGAACTTAGATCGGCTGCATGCCAGGCAAATGTCCTACCTGTTGTATTATTGCTCTAGCCTCAACACTTTCTACCCATGACCTCTTTTTGCTCAAACAATGCAACATAATTTAGCACTGCCAGAAGCAGCTCGAATTGACCACTTGATTGACTTCAAATTAATTTTTTGGTGCTTGTGTGTTCAGAAACATTTTACTGCATTTCACAATCCTACATTCAGGTATGCCACCCCATGGAATCATAACCCACAGTGTAAGAAGCTAGGTAATCAAAGTGAACCCATAGAAGGTCTTAAAAAGCTAAATTTTTAATTACTGTTTAACCACAACAGAATGATCCATTTCATTTCACCAGTATAAAGATGCTGAGATATTAATCTGAACACATACTATATGCATTTGTACATACACCCAACATAGATATTCACATACATTCTCTATGAATTATACTTAAAATCAATAATCAGAAAAAGTTTCATTTTCTAGTAGCATAAGATATGTTATGCCTATGGTCCCTAGACAATGTGATCTAATGCTTTTGCACACTATGGCATACACACTGTGAATGTTTTAAAAAATATCAGGAGAAATAGCAATATTTGGCAACCATTGCACATCACATGAAAAGCCAATTCACAGTAGCTCACAACTTCAACATGGGATTTGAAAACAGAATTTTAAGTGATGTCATATATTTGCAAACATGGTTTTTCAGCAGTTATTATGAGGGAAAGTAAGTACCATGGGGAAAATCAATGTGGGAAAAAAAAGTGAGGGTGTTGATGTCTCTCAGATTCCAAGTATGAGAAAATGTACATTCCCAATAGGCACCCACATCTTATTAATAAGTCATGTTGTTATTTAGGAAGAAAATTAAATTTCTTTCTATTTATATATATATTATTTGTTCACATGAATGCTGGGTTGTTAGAACAGGAACAATTACTAAGATGTTTAGACCTAATGACTTTGTGGATAAAACTGTTCAGTATTTCTTTTGGCTTAGGGATGTAATGGGAAAAAATTATTAAGATGCTCAAACTCAATGAAGTACTTAATCTGGAAACATCTGGACATGTGTCAATGGCCCCCTGGGTTGTACAGTTCCCACCATGTGTGTTCTGCTAATTCACACATGGCTCTTTCTTAAAATCTTCCTAATTTTCATTATCATCACAACCCATTATTTATGATAAAATTGCCAGAAACAACATTTCATTTTCAAAGAAAATTAAGTATAAATTTAGAAATATTTCAATCAAAAACTGGCCAAATAAGAAAGAGAAATTCATACCAGGCCTGGGAGTTCACAGCATTTGTCTCTATTGGCCCATGATGTGGAGCAAACAATGTCAAACATCTGTAACTGGAACTGCAATTTGAAAAAGAAATTGAAATTCAACAAAGGACATATAGATACATTGTGTTATAGTCATAATGAATCATTTTAAATATTATGTAATAATATACTAATACATCTATAACCTAACATTATAATGAATAAATAGATAGCTACAATAATTTGTGCTTCTTTTGTTCTGCAAACACACAGTGATCTAAGGTTTGGTTTATAGTGACCTCATCCACTATCTAAATTCCCTTATTTATCACAACTTCCTTTTCCCTTCTCTACCTAAAAAATAAATTGCGTACTTCCACTGAAACTTTTCCTCTTCTAGCTTTCTCAGATACTCCAAGTACTTCTCTAATACCATAAATTCTCCTTACAAAAGTATATCTCCCACCAAATAAGACAATTAAGTATAGTAACTACTCCTTATACTGTGATCTTTTTATAAAAGTACTATCATTAATCTTTGTGTATTTTATCAAAACCTGAAACATGTAGTAGATACCGATGAAAATTTGTCAAATTAATTAATTCTAATTTTAAATCTTAATTAATTGATGCATATAATCAACACTTTTTTTTAGTGTATAATGCAAATCAGATACAGATATTATGAAGACATTTAGATATAGAAATGAACAAAACCAGGGTTCTGTTCTCAGAGAATTTATAGGGGAAGGCAGATAGATATATGATATATATCATAAAAATCATATGGTATTGTGAGAGCTCATGCTATGTGTCTTTTAATTGAATATGTTGACCATGCCATAAAAAGTCCTGTTCGTTGGTAGTAATTAAATCTATGTTTGATATATACAATAAAATAATTTTAATATTAGTTGGGACTAGCACTAGCTTCATGGCCCAATCATTTCTATACCCGACTTAGCCAAAAGGCTGAGAAATGATGTCATGGCTCACTCCCAGTGGTGATCAAGGAACCATATATGGTGCTAGGGATTGGACTTCATGCAAGGCAACGTGGTAAACTCATACTATCTCTTCAGCCCTATATATTACTTTTAAATATTAAATTGTCATAAATTATAGAATTGGAAGAAGGATGAGGTTCTTCCCATTTTAAATGTGCAAATTTCCTCAATAAGATGTGTTTTTAGCAAGTGCTAGAAATTTGGTAACTTGTTTTTTTCTCAGTATTTTTCTCAAAAGGATAAAAGTTAAAATGTTGAGGGCCATACAGTAGAATCAAAATGTTACATAGTACTAAGGAGAGAATTTAATGATAGTTGGTCTACATAGTCATCATATATGTTTAATATTTTGATTGAGAGAAATCTTAGCAAATAACAATAATAGCAGCCAGTATTTGCTGAAAATCTATGTACCATAAATTATACTAAGGTTTTTGCCTGTGTCACTTAATATACAAATCCTCTCTATGAGTTATGTAGTAATATTAAACCCATTCTGTAGATGAAGACATGGGATAAAAGGCGAAAGCAGTTTAAATACACATTAAAAGCTGACTTCAGATTGAGGTGCAGATAGAACAATTCATTTTCTTCTTGTTCATTTTGCAATGAAAGGATCTTTGGTCTAAAGTTTAAAATGTAGATACTCTAGCCTATGTTTCAATGTCATTTGTCTGTGGACATTTCTTAAATAGATTCCATTATGAAAGCATTAGATAGATTCATGAAATATGTCAGTTGTTCATTCATTAAGAATTTTTCCATTTCTGAATACAGACCTCAGTGTAAAAACATTTAAGTAAATGGAAAGATTTACTTAAAGCAAAGTATTTCACTAGCTCTGGTATACACCAAGCTTTTTTTTCAAATTTTTCAAATAAACATTCACAACCTACAGTGGTGTGTCTACATACAAACTTTTGAAAAAACTTCCCTCCAGTTGGAATTTTTCTGAGTTCATTTTGCTCATTCTAAGGGTTAAATGCCTACTAAGTGCTGAATGAAGCTAATACTATTATTTGAGGAATGATCGTGGGCTGTCTTAAATTTTGATGAGCTCAGCAGTCTATTGTGTCTGAGCGTATGAGTACAACCAATTTATTCACAATTGTTTTTGCATACATAATAGTCCAGATTCTTTGGCTTCTCTTTAAGGACTTCTTTTCCACATTTCTGGGGACTGGTTTTTTAAAAGTCCTTCAGCTTTTATTCTGAAGAGCAATGACACATTTATGCATACAAATAATATAGGAAGCAGTGCAGAGATGACATGTCAAAATAATTTACATTTCAGTGCCTAAAAATGTAAGGCAATAATGGATCAAAATAGGCATATTTCAAGTAACTAATACAGGTTTTGTACTTTGAAAACTTTTTTCTTTATAACTAAACATTATTTTTATAGATATGAGGAAAGGCAGAGGGAAGAGACAGAGAGAGACATCACCTCCTATTTTCACTTTTTATAATCTCTTTCAAGGGAATACAAAACCAATTACAAATGCACATTTTTCATTTTTGAACATTTTTTGTCTGGGTGTAGCAGAAAAGGAAGTCAATTGGGGTCAAATGTTACCATGAAAATAAGATTAAAATACTTCTCAGCAGTTGAGTCATTGTGATCTGTAAATGGAAATTAAAATATACCCCTGGTTCCATTTTTCACTCAGTACCAGATTTTATCTTCTGACTTTTTTCTAGAATATCATAATTAAACTTATAATTTAAAGCCATGCTAAATGTATACAAATATTTATGAAACTTTACATTGCATAAGAAAGCTCGGGCCCTGGGCCATCATCTGTTTTTAATTTAATGCTTAACTTGTATTGACTCCATCTCAAAACAAGACTTGTAAAGCATTTTCAGCTATTAAATTTAGTGTTTTTACTTGAATTTGATTATTGAATTAAAAAAACCATGATGACACTAATTAAATTAGGAGATGAAAATTAAGAGCTGTTCTTATTCATGGTACTTAGAATGTGTTATACTAATAAATATACTGGAAGGAGGGGTTTGATTACATTAACTTTCAAGGTCTTAACTCAAATAATAATTAGTCTCTAAAACTGTCAGTGAATTGATGGGCTGGTCACTATTACAGATCAGATAGCCTCCTCTGCTTTAAGACCACTCTAATCGAGGGCAAAGAAGCGCTACAATGGAAGATGTACTTTTATACAAGCCAGGTGAAGTCATATCTCATTTTTCCGCTTTTCAAAAGAAGATCCTTCCCTGACTTTTTAGGCTGGAGCCCCAGCATTTATAAAATGGGAATGTTGTATCTTTTATTAAGGTTACTGGAAGATTAGCAATCCCATAACATAACTTACATTTCTCTGTTTTGAAAATAGCAGAGGACTGAGCAAATGTTAATTGGATGATTGTCCAAGTATTAGGTATTGAAAAGGTGGACGAAAGAGACAAAGAAACGTGATCATATGGCAGGAGCTCAATTTTTTTCTAGAGCCATCTTTGACTGGCAGCAGATGTCAGGAAATATTGAAAAAAAATTTTCAGAAGTAAAAAGATTATAAAGGCAAAGGATAGTTAAGTTTCTTCCCATAAGTGTTTTGACAGCAAAGTCTGCTTTTTTGGTTTAGTACCATTAGGGACTATCACTGCCTATAAAATCTTGCATTGCTACACATAAGTTGCTTTCATTATGAATGAGAGCAATTTCAATGCAGCAGCTATTATATTTTTAAACCCATTAATCTTTCCTCTACTCAAGTGGTTTAGAAAGAATGCATTTTCTTTAAAGACCTAATCTTGATTTTTTATCAGATAACATTAAAAAATTCTTTTCATGTGATTTTTTGAATCACTGATAAATTTACCAGGGAAGACTCACTTATGAGTCACTAATCTTAAAGATGGCTGGAGTGATAACACAGCGGTAGGGCATTTGCCTTGCGCGCAGCCAGCCTGACAGAGCCAGGTTCGATTCCTCCACCCCTCTCGGAGAGCCCGGCAAGCTACAGAGAGTAGCTCACCCACACGGCAAAGCCTGGCAAGCTACCCGTGATATATTCAATATGCCAAACACAGTAACAAGTCTCAAAATGGAGACGTTACTGGGCCTGCTCGAGCAAATCGATGAACAATGGGATGACAGTGCAGTGCAGAATCTTAATGATAACCACTCTACTAAATAATCCTAAATGTGTACCTATATATTCCCCTTTACTGGGTATTGGAGTATAGATGCATATCAAGATTTTCTTCATAGTAAGAGACTTCTAAATTAAAATTTGAGTACTATATCTCCTCTTGTTTTATACAGAAGTGATTACAAAAGCAAGTGAGTTTCCAATCACATTCTTGAGATCTAACCTTATAATCTATTTTCAAATAATCAAATTCTTTGCAAAGTGGGAAGACTGAAAATCTATTTAGCCATTTTTTTTTGTAGAACTCTAGAATCTACCAAAACCCACAACTTTTTTCTTACAGATTACAAAGAACTCTTTAATGTTGACTTCCATAAATTCCTCTTTGTCTCCTACTGGTTGGAACTTTCCACAGAGGGCCCAGTTTAATTGCTTTTCTGTCGTGCCCCAAAGTTAAGCTTTATGACCCATAGGCCTGAAATCTACAGCAGTTGTGCTTTCAGAAATAAATTATTTGATATTTAAAGATCATATTTTTAGAACGTAATTACTACAGGTGAGCAATGTGAAATATTGTAATTATATCATTGCAATTGTAAAATACAAATTATAAGAAGATATGATATATTTTAATGGACTAATGTCAATGCCACACATGACACGCAAAACATGTCAAAGTAAAGAAAAATTACACTATACAATTAAAATGTACTCATTTGGTTTCATCTCTCTCAAGTATTTCTTGGGAACTTACTCAGTTCACACAAACTTATCAGCTATGAAATATGGGGTAGAAGAAAGAAGCAAATAAAGACCATGATGACTTTATATTTTTAGCTAGAAAGGTAAAATGTAGATACATGAAAGATGATGAAAATAATATATGACTACAAATAATCACATGCTAAATATTAGAGGTTTACAAAAGGCATATTTGAGAAATTATTATCAACACCTTCAATCATAAAAATTATTTTCCTTGAATGCCTACTATCAGAAATTTTACTTCAATATTTACAAAATCAAAATAACTGTAATTTGTAATTTGGGTCCAGATATTTTATGCATAGAATTATTTTTATTTTTTCTTTCCAAAATTAGAGTTCATTCACTTTTCCATTCAAGCGTCCATTTATATTTACTCTTTAATTGTTTGTTTTGCTTTTGGGCTATACCTGGTATTGCTCAGGGCTTTCTCCTGGCTATGCACTCAGAAATCACTCCTGGTGGGCATCCATCATCTTAAGGGTACTGGGGATCAAAACTGGGTTGGCTGCATGCAAAGCAACCACTATTTCTCCACCTCCTTTGAGTCTCTTTTTATCTTATTTACTCACAGGCTATAGTAATTGAACAAATGTCACATTTATTTGTATAAAGTGATCTGCAGTTTAAAAACACTTTCAAAACCACCAATTCTTTCTATAAAGTTCCATATTAAGTCACTAGTTCTACAGAGTATGAAAGCACAAAGCAATAAAGATGATTCATAATTAACTTAATTTTTATGTTACATAGAAATGTAGATTAGAATAGTTGGAATTGCTTATGAAATGTACTCCAGAACAATTGATTCTTATTATATAATGACTCAAATTAGAGAATGTTTCTAATTAGCTATAAATGTATGTTGTTAAAACAAAAAAAAATTATATACTGTCTTTTATGTGGGTAGTGAATGAAGGGAATGTGATTCCTTTGCCAATTGGAAGTCTTTCAATCTTGAATTTTGTGTTGTATGATGAAAACTATAGTACCATAGAAGGATTTGCTACTTAAATATCTATTGATGATTAAAAATAAATTTCATTTAAGTAACAGAAAAAATCTAGTATACCACTTTTAGGTATTTTCCCCAAATACAAAAACAGTGCTGCAAATATATCTCATGTTTACTGCAGATTTATTTGAGAATTCTGAATGTCTAATACATCAACAAACTGGTAGGACAAACTGGTAGGCTACTGAATGTAGCCTGCCCACACGGCAGAGTCTGGCAAACTCCCCGTGGCGTACCCAATATGCCAAATACCAGTAACAATAATGGGTCTCATTCTCCTAAAGAGCCTTGAATATAATCTCAGGGCTAGGATGAAGGAGACGTTACTGGGGCCTGCTCGAGGCAATCGACAAATAACAGGATGATTTGTGATTTGTGAATACATCAACTGAATGATGAATTGATAAAGATGATGTGGTATATATACCCAGTGGGACAAAGAAAGTGAAATCTTGCCATTTGTACCTCAGGAATGAACATAGAGAGTATAATAATTATTGAAATAAGTAGGTAGAGAAAAAAATTGCATTATTTCACCCATATGTGACATATAGAGAAAGCAAGTGTCAAATTAAATAAAACAAAGTTTTAGATTAAAAATCAATTAATTGAAGAATGAGGAGGGAAAGGTAAGTAAGGATAAAGGAACATACTTTTCAATGTTTAGTGCTACATACCTGAAGTTTATATAATTCTGTGATGCAATATTAATTTAATTATAAATAAATGAATATATATACTTTTAATGCATAAAACCCACCTCCCAGAAGAGAACAACGCAGAGTCTCTTGCCCCCTCCTCTGGCTGTCCTTACTGGGGGCCCCTTGGAGGGGGGCGGGCTGAGTTTCCTCCAGATCCAGCCACAGCCATGCTTAAGACCACTTTCCACATCCTCGGAGGAGCTTCACGCATGAAGCAACCGGCAGAGGAACCCAGGTGTGAGGGACCTGGGGCATGTGGGTCCCGAGACTGAGATCTCCAAGCCTGCTCAGATTGGAACTGGGCCTCCTACACCCAAATCCCCCATCTTTCAGTAGCCAGGTGTCACACCCACCAACTGCCCCCAGGCCGTGTAATCCCATCAATGGCCAAGACCTAGAGACTATAAAACCAAACTCCCGGATTTGGCCTCCAGACCTCTTATTTAGTTCTTGCTCTCAGAGAACCCGGCAGGTTACCAAGAGTATCCTGCCCACACAGCAGAGTCTGGCAAGCTCCCCATGGCGTATTCAATATGTCAAACACAGTAATGATGGGTCTCATTCCCCTGACCCTGAAAGAGCCTCCAATGTGGCACTTGCTAAAATCTCAGGACTCGGATGAATGGAGACGTTACTGGTCCCTGCTTGAGGAAATCGATGAACAGTGGGATGACAGTGATACAGTGATGCAGTGATGTCCAACATAAACGCAAATGTGAGATTTATTTCAACTGATTACCTAAATAATTACATATTTATATACGTTTCCATTTGCTTTTATAAATGAGGTTCACTAATGGTTCTGAATCACCGTTACATACAATTTACATCACAGAGTGATTAATATTATATTATTTGAATTTTGAAATGCATCCAGAAAACAAATGACCTTAATTTCTGAAACATTCTGTTAAATGTAATGACATTTAGCTCTTAAAGTGAAAATGTAATCGATTCATTCATTCATTCATCTATCATTTATCCTTCTATGATTTATCCATACAGTATTTTATTAACACCCCTCCTAGAAAATAGACAATTATAGAAGAGAATTTTTGCTATATAATAACATAGTTTCAACAGCTGATTAACTTACCGGTGCAGAGTTCCCGGTGGGTCCTCTTGATCTAACCATTTTCCCAAGGACTTCTATACCATCAGAGGTGATATTAGCTGATGCATTTATTGCCTTCTCACCCACTTGCTTGCAGTCAATAACCACTTTTGCCAAAGTCTTGCTTATAACAATATGTAGCTGAGGGAAAATATAAAAATATTTTTGGAGGTAAGAAGCAGGGAGGAAATATTAATTGATTAATGTATTTGCTTGACTTGTCATTGCAAAGTGTGAAAAAGATGGGAGATAGAGCACAGTGGCTTAAGATGCTTGCTTTGCAAGTGGCTGATCCTAATTCAATCCCTGGAACTGTATATGGTACTCGAAGGAACCTCAGATGTGATAACCGAACACAGAGCCAGCAGTCAGCCCTGAGCACTTCTGGAGTGCATTTCTACACTCAACCAAAAGTGTGAAAAAGGAGAAAACAGAAAGTGTCAAATGCACTTTGATAGAGAAGAAATGATCTACTTTTCTCAAGCTCATGATCTTCCTACATTCAGGTAGCATTATAAGACCTTATTTAAGCAACATTCTTCAAAATATTGAGATTCACTTTTTAAAACCTGTCTTCCTCTAGTGTACCTTGAAATTATTGGCTTGCTATGCCAGTTATGTTTTTTTCTGAATGCACAATGACATAAACATGAAAATATTTAAATAAAACTTTTGGTTGATTCACAGAATCTCAATAAATAATTTTTAAAGATTTAGGTTGAGGGCTGGAGCAACAATACAGCCGGTGGGGCTTTTGTCTTGCACGCAGGTAACCCAGGTTTGATTCCCAGCATCCAATATGGTCCCATGAGCACCGCCAGGAGTAATTTCTGAGTGCATGTGCCCCTGTGCATCACCAGGTGTGACCCAAGTAGCAAAAAAAAGAAAAGAAAAGAAAGGAAAAGAAAAGAAAAGAAAAGAAAAATATCCTGGTTGATTCAACAGTAAAAGTTATTGATAATAGTGGTTGGTAAACTACTCCTTTTTCTTTATCCAGTCATCTGTTCTTAGACATCTAGGTTGTTTTCACATTTTGGCTATTGAATCCTGGTCAACTACAAGCAAAGCCAGTGCTTTACCCACTGTATTATCTTTCCAGCCCCCTTCTTCCTCTTTTTGTATCAGGGTAATGTGGATCATAAAATAAATTGGGAATTGTTCCTTTATCTTCAATTTTATACAAGTTTGTGTATAAATGCTTCTATTTATCCCTTAAATGTTTGACAGAATTTCCCAGTGAAATCTAATTTTGTTGTTTTTTTTTTGTGTGTGTAGATTGATAGATTGATAGATGTTTAATTAGATGATAGATATACAGAGAGATACACGGTACAAAAATACATAGATAATTGTTTTGGGAGCCACATCCAGCTGTGTATATTACTTATCTGTCTCTGTGCTCAGAGATCTCTTAGTGGGACTTGAGGCTCATATGTGGTGTTGGACTGATCCTAGGCCTAATATGTACCAGACATGTGTCTTAAACACCTGCCTTATAAACCCTGGACTGTCTCTCTGACCCCAATGATAATATATATATATATATATGTGTGTGTGTGTGTGTGTGTGTGTGTGTGTATGTATATATGTGTCACACCCGGAGATGCACAGGGGTTACTCCTGGCTCTGCACTAAGGATTTTACTCCTGGCGGTGCCCAGGGGACCATATGGAATGCTGGGAATTGAACTCGGGTTGGCCGCATGCAAGGCAAACACCCTACCCGCTGTGCTATCACTCCAGCCACAATAATATTTTTAACTAAAAGTTTAATTTCTCTAATAGATACATATTTTCCTATTACATATTTCTTCTTAAGTCAGCTTTGGTCATTTATTTCAAGGCATTTGTTCATATCATCACGTTGTTAAATTTATTGACATCAATGTTTGTATTAGTATTTGTCCCTATATATCTTGGAGTGCTTTACCCAAATTCTTTGTGTTTTGGTTTTGTGCCACACTGGGCAAAGTATGCTTTGGGCTTACTCCAAACCTGCCCAGAACTTGCAAAGAGATCTCTGCCTCTCTGCTCATGTATCACTCTTTGTGGTTGTTAGAGACAACCATTCTCATTTAATATTACTGACTTCCGTTTTCTCTTTTGTGTACCTGCCACCATCAGTTTCTTTTTGATTTGTTTTGTCCTCTGTTTTGGAAGGCCCACCAAGGGTGCTCAGGGCTTACTCCTGGCTCTGCACTCTGGGGTAGGGTCTGCTGCATGCAAGACAAACGCCCTAATCCCTGTACTATTACTGCCCCACCCCCTGATCTAAGTCAGTCTCGTTAGAAGCTTATAAATTTTGTTTTAAGGAAGCACCTCTTACTTTTGATCAGTTTTCTCTATTTTTCTTTTTTCTGGCCATATATTTCTGCTTGTAGTTTTCTATCTTTTTATTTATTTTTCATTTGCACCTTTCCCTCCAAGGTTCCCAAGGTATTTTATTTAAGAATCTTTCCTAATACAGGTCATTGGTGCTATAACATTATCACTGTCACTGTCCTCCCGTTGTTCATTGATTTGTTCGAGCAGGCCCGGTAACGTCTCCATTGTGACAATTTTTACTGTGTTTGGCATATCAAATACATCATGGGTAGCTTGCCAGGCTTGGCACAATGAGAATCATGGTTATAGCAATAAAGTAGCTAATACTCTAATAAACAAAGTTTGAATGCCAATAAAATAGGAGAATCTTTCATATTAAAATTGTGTGACTTATTTTTATTTGTAGTGGGTGGAATCAAACTCAGGTCTCAAACATAAGAGGTAAGTGCTCTACTAGTGAGTTGTAACGCCAAGTTAAAATAGTATGACTTGGGGCTGGAGCGATGGCACAGCGGGTAGGGCGTTTGCCTTGCACGCAGCCAACATGGGCGACACAGGTTCGATTCCCAGCATCCCATATGGTCCCCTGAGCACCGCCAGGAGCAATTCCTGAGTGCGTGAGCCAGGAGTAACCCCTGAGCATCGCCAGGTGTGACCCAAAAAGCAAAAAAAAAAAAAATAGTATGACTTTTAATTTTACTGGTTTTATTCAAACTATATTTTTATTTCATTGATGATCAGGAGCTGAAAACATAAATATTATGCCTATTTTTATTCAATGTCATGTTTAAGTGAAATTATGATAAAGACAATTTAAGTCAAAGTCAAAAAACTCTTGAAGACCCTACCCTTTAGAGTTCTTTTTCCTCCAAAAGAAAAAACTTAATGATTACCTAACTGAAAAATGCAGCAAGTGCACATCCTCACATTAATCTATATTAAAATTTCTTCCACAATCATACAGAAGACAATTTTATGCTTGAAATATTTTTCATTTATTATAAAGAACAGATTTTTTCATGCTAGGTACTAGATATATTCATGCTTTAAAAACTGCCTTAAGTCTTGGGGGCTGGAGTGATAGCACAGCAGGTAGAGCATTTGCCTTGCACGTGGCCAACCCAGGTTCAATTCCCAGCATCCCATATGGTCCCCTGAGCACCGCCAGGGGTGATTCCTGAGTGCAGAGCCAGGAGTAACCCCCGAGATCGCCGGGTGTGACCCAAAAATTAAAAAATAAATGAATAAATAAATAAATACTGCCTTAAGCATTAAAGGGGATTATTCATTCTTTTTAAATAAAATATTTCACTTTAGAAAACAAAACACTTAAAGTCTTCAAGAACAACTGCTTCTTTATTGCCTTTATGTCATTATTAATTTTTTGTAAAAGTCTTTGAAACGCACTTAAAATCTAAAGTGCAAAAACTAAAGCCAACTAAAAATTAATAAGAAACTAAGGAAGAGTATAGATTCAATTTTAATAAACTCTAGGGACACATCAAATGTAAATTATTCATGCTGAATTTCTATTTACAGATCTACTAATAAAGCAGCTTGCTACTTCTTTTTGTTCATTGGGTGTCTGACTTCAAGAATACTTTGAACAAAGTGGAGGATATTTGTTCTCCATTTAACTATAAAACTCTTGAGATTTTATGAATTTGATGTTGGGTTTTTAATAAACCTTGCTTATAGGACTTTGAATTATCCTGGCAAGGTAGTAAAGCTTAGAATTTTCCTGTGACTTATAAAGGATTTTTTGGAATGAGAATTACAAGTTCATGCCTATACCACAGCTATGATGGCTTTTAAAAAAATCATTTTGTAAACATTTATAAAATCTCACATGTTTTTCATCTCTCCTCTAATTTTCCTTGACTACTTTATGAGACCTTGCCAGCCAAGAAGAAACTTGGTGAATAAGAACAATAACTTGAAAGAAAAACTAATGAGTCTAATTTAAATGCTGAACAAGTCTCCACCCACATCTCAGGTGCTCTTAAGATAATTTGTATTTCGAGTTGTATAACTCTGTCAACTAGAATAAAAAATGACATTTTTATGCAAAAAGTAGGGATTTTGAATGAGGCTTCTATCATGTATTTATGCTGTTCAAACTCCCAGAAAGAAGCCAAATTGTATAAATTGGATGTACTGACCACATTCTAGGTCAGAAGCCAAGAGAAAGACTTGTGTAAACCCCTCCCCGCATCCAGACAGGGCAGAAAGGGCTCAGAGACAAGCCAGGCTCCTTGCAGCACCATTCCCTGCTGCTCTGCTCTGCTTGAAGTCTTGGTGTTGTATTTCCAACAGCTCTGAGATTAAGTGGGGTTCTTCACCCACACAAAGGAAACAGTCAATGTTGGGAGGAAGTCTGTCTAGTTCAATGATCACCAAAACCAACTTTTTCAAAGATGAGAAATGGAAAGGAAATAGAAAAGTTCTATCACTGTGTTAAGTATAAGTAAAAACAACTAAAGTGCAATTTTACAAAATCCTTTCTCCAATAACTTACGATGGCAGGGATGTGTAGTCTGCATATGTGTAAAAAATGTCACTCCCTCTGTTCTCACTTTTTTGTTTGTTTTGGGACATCTATGGCAGTGCTCAGGGCTTACTCCTGGCTTGGCACTCAGGAATAATTCCCAACAGGGTTGGGGGTAGCACTGTAGCACTGTAGCACTGTGCTCCCGTTATTCATCGATTTGCTCGAGTGGGCACCATAACGTCTCCATTGTGAGACTTGTGGTTACTGTTTTGGACATACTGAATACACCAGGGGGAGCTTGGCAGGCTCTGCCATGTGGGCGGGATACTCTCGGTAGCTTGCCAGGCTCTCCAAGAGAGATGGAGAAATCAAACCTGGGTCAGCCGCGTGCAAGGGAAACACCTTACCTGCTGTGCTAGAACCTCTAAACAAGCTCTCAAGGGTTGGGGGTAATATATGAAATGCCAGGATGGAAATCAGGATAGGCAAGTACTCTACCTGCTATACTATCATTTCAGCCCAATCTTCACATTTTAACGCCATTCACCTGATTGGGCTTTCATCCACATCCTTGACTAGGTAGAACAGTAATTCTTTCAACATCACACATAAATAGCCAATGAAAGGCTTGTCTTCTAAAGACTACAGAGTTTCAAGGTCCATCTCCATACCTCAAAGCGTTGGCTTGCTCATCTGACCTTCACTCAAGGTTTACTTCCAAGCCAGCATCCCCTATTGGAATCTTAAGCAGATTCCTTTCCCTTCCAGCTGGGCCCTGGCAGCCTTCGTGCCTGGCCTCCACTATCACAGCAGGCTCACCTCCACATCTCATGAAATGCATGACCACAGCACCTCTACTCAACATACCTCACACTGCTCTCACTTACAGTCCTGTCACTGGGTGACAGCAGGCAGGGAAGAAAAAAGAAATACCCAGTCTTATACCTCAGAGACTATAACAACGGAGACTATCACAATGAAGACTCACCCTCAGCCCAGTAGAAGCACAGCAAACACAATGCATAGAAGACACACAGAAGCCCATCAAACTCAATGCATGAAAATAGGAGCACTGTAAGCTCTACCAGTACCAACCAGTTCTGTAAACTCAGGAAATCAACTTAGTGACACTAAGTTGCAGATTTTCAATGAACTCAAAGAAATAGTAATCAGCAAAGCACAAGGAAGTATGATGGGTCTAAAGCAATAGTACAGGGGGGAGGGCATTTGCCTTGCATGCAGTGGGCCTGGGTTCATTCCCCGGCATCCCCTATGGTTCCATAAGCACCCTTTGAAATAATTCCTGAGTGCAGAACCAGGAGTAACCCCTAAGCATTGCAGGATGTGGTCCAAAGACTAAGGAAAGGAATTTACAGTACCAGAATGATAGTTCATAGGGTAGAAAGCATGCCTTGCAGGTGGCTGACCCAAGTTAGTTCCCTGGCACATTATGTGGTCACCTGAGCCCAGCCAGGAGTGACCCCTGAGCGCAGTGCCAGGAATAAGCCCTGAGCACTTCCAGTTGTGGGTGCCCCAACACCCACCCTGGCACCCCTCACCAAAAAAATGCAAAAGAAAGTCCTGAAGACTCACAACAGTTCTATCAAGTGAGACTCTATGAACCAGAGAGTGGTAGGATATAGCAAAGGAAAAAAATTATCATAATTGCTCAATAAAATGAACACCACACAAAGACTACTGTGTCTAAGAAGATTACCATTCAAATTTGAAGAAATAATAGTTTCATGAACGGGATGCAGTTTAGGAAACTCATAGCCTTGAAACCAATTTATAAGGTTTAAAGGATCTTGTATTAAAGGATCTTCTATTAAATATCTTGTATGAAAAGATCTTTAATAGATCTTTAACAGAAGCTTTAAAGGATCTTTAAAAGACAAGGCAGGGATAGAAAGATAGTTCAGCAGGTAGGGTGCTTGTCTTGCATGAGGCAGACCTGGTTTAATCTCCCTAGCAACCCTTATAATCCCCTGAGCACCACTAGGAGTGATTCCTGAGTGCAGAACCAGGAGCAACCCCTGAGCATTGTCAGGTGTGGTTTCCAAACGAACAAAAATCATCTCAGATATGTGATATAAAAACATAGTAAGGAAAAAACAATGGCCAACGTCATCTGTCTATAGACTAAGCTTACAAGGGACAGAGAGAAGACTTGGAGGTGTGTGTGAGTGGTGTGGGGGAGAAGAGTCCTTGTGGGCTCTGATGGAGGGAGGGGTCAGAAAGGTGATGGTGTGTTGTTGGAATGATGTCTGCATGGAAAGTATAAACAACAATATTGTAAATATCAGCATCTCAATCAAAATGGTAAAAGAATGCTATAGAACTATGTTGTGCCTCAGTAGGAAGTTGGATCATCTCTACCAATAGCACCGCCCCGCCAACCTCCCCCCCCCCCGACCCCCCCGGCCCCGTGCTTCTACTAGAAATGCACATTGCAAGCTCCCTTCTCAGAGCTACCAAATCAGAATCTTGGCATTGTTAAACAGTATGAAGGTAATTCTTCACTGAAGTGGAGACAAAAATTCAATGATTTTTGTTAATATCTCTGTGTTGTTTTGTCCATTGCAAACAAAGTAAATATACAAGGCATACCTTGTGAAAGCTTCCATAGAAAATTTTCTGGATTTCAGGTCCTTCAAAAGTTACAGTCTGAAAATCTCCACTGTAGTCGTAGTTAAAATACGTTAGGGTTTTCCCACCATCTAGTCAAAGAAAAATGGAAAAAAATAGAGTCAATAAAAAATGAGGAAATAATTTTTTCTACAACTCCACTTAAGACTGAAAACAATTCATTCATTATTAAGATTGTGTTTATAATGAAGAATAAAGAGAGGAAATGATCTACAGTTCTGGAATTTTCCAAGGATTTTCGTTGGCCAAATTAACCGACTTAACTATGTGGCAGTGATGATCAGGCAAGAATTTCTACATATTTTTCCTTCCACACACCCTTGCCTATATACTCATGACCATTACACTTTTTGGAACATGGTTTTATGAAGCTAAGCAAAGAACAAGACAAAAATGGGCAAATGAAATTATTAAAATCATAATACTAAGAACCCAATTCTGTGCCTTATTAAACTATGGTAGCAACCAAATTTTCGAGATCATGAATATTTTAATGTATCTTTTACAAGCAAAACTAAAAATTCTACCTATTTCTAAATATTTTGTGTTATAAGAAATACTTTATTAAAAAAACTGAATGTTTTTTGTGAGTTTATTCCTAGGTTATAGTTTAACTCTCCACACTGCATTCAAAAGGAACAACTTAGTCATTCATTTTACAGCACTTCTTTATTTATATGTCCTGAATCTACACAGAATCAGTTACTTGTAACTTTTTTTTTATCTATGACTTCTCCTTACTTTTAATATCAATGTAGAATCTTTTCCAGTATTATAGGTATTGATTCATTTTCATATACTGAAAATTCATTTCACAAATACTGGTTAAAAATCAAATTAATATATACCCCTTACCTCAAAATGTTCAGATGTCTGAGTTAGTGTCTACAAATAGCCACTGAATATTGCTTCACTTCTTTACTGGTATGCTAAGCAAGATATATGCATTTGGAAAACTTAATGAAATTACCTAAGAAGCTGATACTCTTTAATGATTACCACAGATACATGAGCTAACCAATGTCCTGGATGAGATTAAGAGGTTTCCCTCATTAGGTCCTTCTCAACTTTCCAACTTTCAAATAATAGAATTTCCCCATCTTTAGGTCTTTTCTTTTTCTCAACTCATTCTCTAGGTGATCTCACTCAGTATCATGGTTTCAACATCACACATATACAGCTTCCAAATTATAGCCCCTTCTCAAAATTCTTCCCAAATAGCCTCCTGTCAATCTGGTATTTTTTCTCAGATGTGACATACACATTTTACATTTAATATCCAATGTAAAAAATGTACTCCTTGCCATACTCTTATGATTAAGACCCTCTTTTTTCTATCTTGAATATTCTGTATTTAGTATTCTGCTCTTCCTTATCTTTAGTACTTCATTAATTGTCTCCCTCTGGCTAGATTAATACTCTATCCCAGAGTCTAGCACCGGAAAATAGTTGGAATTCCATGAATATTAACACATGGATATGTGTCAAAGTAATGAGTGGATAAACAAATTAATCAACTGCTACACAGTTTATTGTCAGCATTTAAATGAAGTGAGCTACTTTGCAATATATCCAAAACAAGCTAAACAAAAAATTATCATACATGTGCTTGCAAATGTTATATAATTATATATACTTACTATCTAAAATGACCCCAACCAATGGGTCAGAATTTTTATTTAAAATTTCCCAAAGAGCAAATGGTTCCTCTGGAGTGTCAGGAAGAATTCGGAATAGAAAACTGATCGTATAATCAGATGGCAATCCTTCTGGATGCAAATACCTGAAAATGGGAGGGGAAGTGTTATATTTTAGTGTATCCTCTTCAAAACATCACCTATCTGATTATATAATCAGATATACTTTGATTATATAATCAGCTATACTTTTACTATAAAAAATTTGGAAAAACAAAAGAATAACATCATCATCCATCCTACCCATAGGTGATCACTATTTTGCTCTGATGTATTTCCTTCCAGTTTTAAAAGAATGTTGTAAGAATTTGTCAAATTTAGTGAACTTGTTCATTTTTTTTCTTAGCACCATTTGCCATATTTTTCTTATTTCAAGAGCAAGGTATTTAATGTCACACCATCTCTACTTGTTCATATGTTCCATAACTAATCTGATTGATCATTTCTTATAGAACATTCAGGTAGTTTTAAAATATTTAGTGTTATAACTAATGTTTGTCACTGTCTTTTTTTTAATGAACTAGATATATTGCTGTTTCTCTACCACATCCAGTAATTTTATTTCCACCTGTACTGTGTGCTGTAATACAGCATTCATATCCATCTTCAAGAATTAAAACTACATAGCATCTGCTCCTGAGAGTGATATCTACAGAGAGTATGTCAGGAATTGCCTCAGTAGAGAAAAATGACTCTTTTTGCCACTTTTTTATGCAATCTCTTTTCAATGGCTAGTCTTCGAGAAGATATCAGGACCATAGTGTCTCATTCCAAAGGAAACAACTCCATTCTCAGAACTGCTGTGTGTGAGTCAACTGAAGTGTTCACCAAGACCTTTACAGAACTTTACTCCTCGCCACTGCCCTATGGCCAATCTCGGTTCTCTTCCACTAGCACATACAACAAACTTCCCTGTTCATTGTTCTCTACCTCTGCATCTTCTTCCTGGGCAAACCAAAGTGCTACCCCGTCACATCTCTCTACCAGTTAAGTAGATCACTTAAACTTAGAAAAAAAAGGTTAAGAAATAAATATGGCTATATATATATATATATATATATCCCCATTAGAGTTATTAGTTCAGTGAATAGGTTTGTTATTGTGTAGAAATTTAGCATTACTTTAGAAAATAAGTTTATTTGCATAGATACATATATTTCAGTCAAGTTTGTCACAAGTGTGGAGAAGGGGGAGAGGGCGTTAGGATAGAGAAGCAACAACTATGACAATGACAGTTGAAAATGATCACTCTGCACAAGAACTGGGTACTGAAAGTATATAGAGGGATACGAGAGAGAGAAAGAAAGAGAGAGAAAGCAGTGTCAGCTATAGAGGCCAACTTGGGGTTGGGGGGGTTGGAAAGAGGTAAACTAGGGACATTGGAAATGTACACTGGTGAAGGGACAGGTGTTAGAACATTATATGACTGAAACCCAGTCATGAACAACTGTGTAGCTGTGTATATCACTGTAACTTAATTTAAAAATTAAGTGTTTCATTTATTTATATATTATTTTATTCATTCATTTTTTCAATAGCACTAATATATGAAAGACATGATAACAGATATTTAACATACATTAATTCTGTGCTTACTCATCTGGGGAATATAAAGTAACAGAATGGGAGACGAACATCCAAGAATAGTTGAGATAAGTACCAGGAGGTCTGCTCCACAGCTTGGAAGCCAGCAGCACATGCTCGGGGAAAAGGAAGCTCAGATAGAGAAGGGAACACCAAGTAAAAGACGTTTGGAGGATTCGTTCAGGATATGAGATGCGTGCTGAAAGTAGACTATAGACCAAACATGATGGCCACTCAATACCTCGATTGCAAACCACAGCACCCTAAAGGAAAGAGAGAGCAAAAGGGAATTCCCTACCACAAAGGCGGGGTGGGGTGGGGGAATGGAGTGGGGGTGGGTAGGTGGGCTACTGGGATCATTCGTGGTGGAAAATGGGCACTGGTGGAGGGATGGGTACTCGATCATTGTATAACTGAAACCCAAGCAGAAAAGTTTGTAAGTCTATAACAGTACCTCATGGTGTTTCACTAATAAAAAAAATTCTGTGCTTAAACAAACACTTAAATTCTAGAGAATTGAATTATATAGTATGACAGGAGGTAATCACTGCCCTAGAAAGGGGGTAGGAGGAAGTGGCATCATGGGGATTGGAAATTCTTTAGAGGATTATTTTGCAATTTAATTAAAGTTGACTTTACTTAGATGGTTGTAGAGGTTACATTTGGGTAAAGGTTCACTGAGAAGGTTACATTTGGAGGAAAAACTCAAAGGAGACAAAGACATCCAGTCAATGAAAAGAACCCAAAGTGAGATGCACCTGGTATGCTTGGGGGACACACTTGAGAGACAGGAATTGAAGTGAAAGAGGTAATAAGCACCTCGATTATGTTGAGGCTGCCAGGTCATTCAGGAACTCTGACTTTTGCTCTAGGGGGAATGAGGAAACATCAGAAGATTTGGCAGTAGCATGATATAATTTATGTTTTAAAAGACTTATTCTCAGTCTCCTTGGGCAATAGATTCTAAGAATTCTAGGGAAGGAGAAGAAAAGATAACTAGGCAGTTGCGTCAGTGGAATAAAGGAAGACAAGATGGTGACCCATACTGGAGTGATGGCAGTGAAAATGGTGAGAAGGCATAATATAAAATCCTGGTAGATGGAAGACATCTACAGAGACATCTAGAATGTATATGATAGAACTGATAAAATGCTATTAATCTTAGTAGCATGAGAGAGAGGGATCAGAGGGGTTTTTTTGTCCAACAAACGAGTTAGATGCAGTTGGAATGAAATGAAAGTTGCAGGAGATGCTGATCCCGGGAGGTAGATCAAAAATGCAGATGAGAAATGTTGAAGATTTAAATTTTGAAATTTCTACTAGCTATCCAAGTGATGTCTAATACGTAATGTAATGATTCTAGTTTTTTCATTTTAAGTTTATTTTTATAAAGTTGTTCACAATATTTGATCACATTTAATTTTTGAATACCAATCCCACCACCATTACACCTTTCCACCACCATATTTCTGATGTTTCCTTCTCGAACCCCAAACCCTGCCTCCAAAGCAGAACCAAAATAATTTATTCTGTATTGTTTGTTATGTATAATCCATTAAAAATTGTCCAAAAAAGGTTTCTTAGAGGAAAGTGTATGAAGATTGTTATATTTCATCCAGGAGCCATTAAGCCCTTCTATAAGAGATTACTAACATGTTAAAACTTGAGAATTGTGTGCATATATATATATATCTGAATAAATATATTTCACCCTAAGATTGGTTGCCTTCTACTTTAGACTCCATCAAATGTGGTGTACTACTCTTGGTATATCAGTGGTGTAAAGTATAAGATGCTGTGCAGCCACAAATGTGGCTGTGCAGTCCAGGAATAGATTCCCTCATGGGTGAGGCTTGTCCAACAGTCTTAAACATGGCAGCCACTGAGTTCTGGAGGTTTTTGGCTGCTGAGACTGGCTCTGTTGGGGTGGGGAGGGGAACTCACCCGCCCCCTTTGGGTTGCCCAGAATGAAACAGTCTGGGAGATGGGTCTGGAGACATACACATGTCTAGTTTTAAGAAAATAGTTCTGGACTGAAAATGCAAATTTTGGAGTACTTGGTTTATAGACAACAGTTAGTGGACATGAAAATATTACTAGGGAGTAAGTATAGATAGAAAAAAACAGAGATCAAGTAGGAAGCCCTGTTTCCTCAAATTGGAAGAAATAGAAAATAAAAGTGGAGGTTCCAGTGAAGAGTTGAAGTTACTAACTGTAGACAGCTTCGAGAAGCCCTGTGGAGGGAATAAATCCTGGAGGAGAAAGTGATCAATATGTCACATGCTGATGACAGGTCAGGTCAGACAAGGGCTGGGGAACAATGATTAGATTAAGCAAGATAGACGTCATGCTGACTGGAGGAGCAATTCAAGGGGAATAGCAGATAAATTTCCCTTTTGCCAGTTCTCTTTCTTGGCTAGGATTTCAGCAATGATTCACTGAACACCCATCTTAATTTTCTTTAGAAGGCAGTCCATAAAAAAAATCTACCAAAATGTAACTTTAGATGTTGTCATTTTTTCCATCACTGGGTAGACGAACTTAATACTCTGGTGTGATGGACTCCCTTTCCACGAATACGTTCATGCTCCATCAAAACTTGAACACTGAAAATGTTTCACGTTAAACTACTGAGGGCATCTTGGGACAAAAGTAATTGTCGCTTTGGAATGTCATAAGGAATAGACACCACCTTGAGAGCTTGCCAGCCTGAAATCTCAAATACCTTGGGAGGAGCCTGCGGGGTTGCTGCAGATGGCCCCAGGAATCTCTTTTTGCAACTGAGGTTGTAATAGAACTGACTCAGGTTTCTTGCAGAAGCCTGATTCTACTCTAAGTGTATGAAGTTCCTGCTGTGACTTTCTCAAAGATGACAACCATCTGGACTCATGACACTGGCAGAAAACAGTTTCATGTAAAGGGATCAGGACTTAAAAGTCAGGTACAAATCCTAGCATGGCTGCTAACAAAACATGTAAGATCATCATGTATTTTCTTTGTGCTCCAGTTTCATCATTTGTAAAATTGAAATAGTAATTAAATCTATCTCACTAAATTGTTCAGAGGCTTCAGTTTTCTACCTATCTATTATATGTTAATATTCATATTAACATGTATAACATTCAGTATATCATATTTAATATATATTATATTAAATGCTAAGACTGTGTATACATGTAATATGTAGTATATATATGCTATCTTTAAATAATTTATATGTTATAGTATATATAAAATATAAATTAGAACAAAGCCTGTGTATGACAGTGTTATGTATATATCATTTCATTTCATTTCATTTCATCATCCTGTTATTCGTCGATTGCCTCGAGCAGGCCCCAGTAACGTCTCTTTCATCCTAGCCCTGAGATTATATTCAAGGCTATTTAGGAGATATATCAACTCTCACATATTTTCCAAGTTCAACAGATATTGAAGTTCAAGCAGCATTATGTGTTGAGTAAAGCTCTAAAAGAAAGAAACCTAAATTCATGGGAAATCCTTCAGGATACTATTATAACATATTTCAAGTGACATCATTTTCATATTAAGATACAATAAAGATGATTAACTGTAATATCTTTCAGCAGAAACATACTTAGTTGGCTGGGAAACTAAGGCATCTTTATGAAGTCGGTAACAGGAAAACACATTGAAGGTGCCAGGCTCCATAGACACCCCTTCCACTGATGAAAAGTCCTTTTCAATTAAACCAAACATTTCCATCATCTTAAAACCTAGAAAGAGAAAGAGAGTACTTTAGGATCTTAAATGTTTAATGCTAGTCTATTAAGAATTAAATTAAAAAATCTGTACTCAGAACGATTGATATATTTGCATTTGGCAAAAACATGATAATATATACCTGCAAGATCAATGCCATTCATGTGTACCAGGGGGCAGGCTGCAAAATAAAAAAAAATAAAATATCATTTAGCTGTTTTCCAAACATATTCTTTCCTGTCCCAGAACAGGAAGCTAATATAATCTTTCTGGAAGTCAACTGTGCAAGGAATCCAAACCAGATGTGTCTATGATTACTTTTGTGGAAGCCTAAATATTGTGATTCACTTCTCTTCTTAACACCAAAAAACCAGCACTTCCTTCTCTTCTGGGTTCCTTAAAATCAATACTGGCCTAGAGAGTGTGGGCTGGGTGTGGCTTTATTTCTAATATGCTGGTCTGAATAGTTTTAATGTGTTCTGAAAACTGCACTCCATAATTGTTTAAACAGAATGAATTTTAAATGGAGTCTCCTCTTATTAGGGAATGTCTTTATCAACCTAAACCTCTAAACTGAAGAGTATTTACTTCCATATCCTCCGGATCATAACACTTAATTCCGCATGACACAGAGCTTTGCAAATCAATATTCTTTCTCATATCAAGATGGAAATCATTATAAACAACACATTAAATATATCAGCCTGTAAGCAACATAAGTACAAATTTCAAGGAACTAACTTGCTGATGCGGTTTCACAGACAAAAGTAATCAGCTCATCTTCAATTTTCTTAAAGGCATCAAAGTCATCCACAAAGAAGACGTGGCGGGAACTGGGCTTGCTGCCAATGCTAACCAACTCAGAATAATCGGCATCAGCCACACCAATGGCAAAAATGCTGTAACCTGTGGGAGAGAGGGCACATACTTCTGATTACTTTAAATTGCACAAAACATACAAATAATAAAATAGAGGCTATGTCCAAATGTTTAAGATATGTTTATTTAGAAGGGCTAGAGGGTGCATAATTCATCTTTTACAGTTCATTAGAATTCTATATGCACATATGGCTTTATTAAATAATTATTTCATCATCCTCTAAAGATATTTTCTATGTTAAAGAAACTTAAGGGGCCGAAGCCCTCAGTACTACCAGGTGCCCCACAGCCCATCAAAAAGAAAAAAAAAGAACTTAAGAAGGCCATTGCCCCAATTAATGCTTAAGAGTTGCCATTTGGGCAATATGTTTTAGTCAGCAGAGCTCGGCAAGCGACGGAGAGTATCTCGCCCGCACGGCAAAGCCAGGCAAGTTACCCATGACGTATTTGGTATGCCAAACACAGCAACAAGTCTCACAATGTTACTGGGCCCGCTCGAGCAAATCAGTGAACAACGGGAGGACAGTGACAGTGACAGATTTAATAATTCATCAATCAATTGACTAGGAGGATTGGGTTATACCTGTCAGTGCTCAAGGTTATTTCTGGTTATATGCTGAGAGTGACCCCCTAGTGTTGTTGGGGTACTATACATGGTGTCAGGGATATAACAGAGTAGGTAGGAAAGATTATTTAAAAAAACACAATTGAAACAGATACTTTAGCTCAGTCTTTTTTTTTTCAGATGTAAAGCCTGAGATATTAATAGACTGAGAATGCAGAGGTGAGTCAGTTCTGTGTTTGACAAATATGAAGTTATCACTGCTGTTTACTATCTTATTAAAATATAGCATTTGTGACAGATCTTAGGAGAGGGGTATGTGGGGTCTGGATTTCTCTCTGACACTTTGCAATGGTCCTTCTCATAATATTTCTCTTAACTGTTATTTTTTTATAGTATTGCTCTTAATTGCTTCTTACACAGGGCATCCCGTATGTCACAAAAATAGTAAAGAAAATATAGACAAAAAATCTAGAGACAGGAACAGAGGATCTCAGAAATGAGAATAAAAATGCTCCCTCAGGATGAGAAGCATAGATTTGTAACTTGAAACGTATTTTTAAATTACTTTTTTGTTGAGATAACATTGGTTTAGATATAAATGCTGAGTTTGAGGGGAAGGAACATTGTCATCACACCATGTCCACTACCAAAATGTCATAGTAAGAGACTTAAAAAAGATTTAGAAATACTTGTGTAATGTTGATGTAGCTAATACATTCGTGTTCCAAAATCACCATTCTCATTATTGCTGAGAGCTACTACTGCTGATCCATGGAAACTTACCCTCTGACTGCATCTCCCTGGAGATTTTATTCACATCATCCTGAGACCTCCCGTCAGTTATCACCACAATGACTTTGGGGGTGCCTCTTCTAGTCCCGGCCTCTGTAGTAAACAAGGTGTCCCGGACATACTTCATGGCTTGTCCTGAAACAAAGACAGGCAACAGTTCAACCCTCTGGGTCCCCACTCTGATTTCTGTGGAGCAGAGAAATTGGTATGAAGTTCTTAAATCAGCAAAAGAACGCTTTCAAAATCTACATCCTTATGGCCCTTCTTCAAGTCCTTCTTAGTACAATTACTGATGATTACTTAGGTAATAACTTAGGCAATAGCTCTCTTGCGGGAGCAGGGAGGCAAATCTTACCTGTCTTTGTATTTCCTCCTTTGTACGCGATATGTTTAATTGCCTCTAGAAGAGTCTCTTTGGTTTTGTAAGAATCTAGTTTAAATTCTGTCCTGGGGTCATCAGTGAACTGAACCATTGCAACCTGAAGAGAGAAGATGATAATTGTCCATATCTGCAGACTACTGCTGGCCTGGAGAACACACACAGCAGCTAGCCTTACAGCTGTAACTACATATCAACAGTCTCTCTTTCCCTAATTAAAATCTGTAAAAATGAGAGAGAGAGAGAGAGAGAGAGAGAGAGAGAGAGAGAGAGAGAAGGAGGGAGAGAGGGAAAGAGGGAGAGAAAGAAAGAGAGAGGGAGAGAGGAAGAAGGGAGAAGGGAGAGAGGGAGAGAGAGAGAAAGAGAAAGAGAGAGAGAGAGAAGGAGGGAGAGAGGGAAAGAGGGAGAGAAAGAAAGAGGGAGGGAGAGAGGGAGAGAGGAAGAAGGGAGAAGGGAGAGAGGGAGAGAGAGAGAAAGAGAGAGAAAGAGAGAGAGAGAGAGAGAAAGAGAAAGAGAAAGTGCCTGTCATAGAGGCATGCTGGGGGAGGGATGGCAGAGGAAAACTGGGACACAGGTCGTGGGAAATGGACACTGGTGAAGGATGAGTATTAGAACATTGTATGACTAAAACCCAATCATGAGCAGCTTTGTAACTATCTCACTGTGACTTTAAAAATTAAAAAGAAAATTGTAAACAATTTGTGTATATCTAAGCCACTAAACTCAGCACTGCCCTAAGCATGTGGCCCCGACTACAAAAATTAAGCTTAAAAATCTACCATCTGGTTAGAGCAATAGTACAGAGGTTAGAGAACTTCCCCAGCATTTCATATGATCCCCGGAGCACAGCAGCCAGGACTAATTCCTGAACGCGAACCAGGAGTAACGCTTGAGCATCATGGGGTATGACCAAAAAAGTTTTGAAAAAATCTATCAGCAAGGATGCAGGTTGGAGGGTGGGAGGGAACCTGGGGTCAATGGTAGAGGGATGGGAGTATGGGGGATGGGACTGACACAGGTGTGAGGGGTGGCATCGTATGTTGAAAACCCATTGTGAAAACTGCAAAATATTTCATTTTTCCTAATTTTTTTTCTCTAAAATGTATTTTAAATTTGCTCGGTTCAGTCTCTTTGTCAACACCCTGCTCCAGGTCTCTATGAGCTCTCACGGAACTGTAGGGTTCTAGCTAACGTCTCTGCCTCACCCTCATCCTGTATGTATTCATGTCTCACAGAGTCTTGGAGTATATTGGCCATTTTGGTGGTTGGTGGGATGCAGTAACTCTGTGCCTCAAAACCATAATTGGTAACATTATTGTAACCATATTTCCTAAACTATAATTTTAAAATATTTTAAAGAAAGAAATCACATCAGATCTCATTTCCTCTTTCCTTAAAACATTCCAGTGGCTTCCCATTGCCTTTAGTGATAGCATCCAAACCCATCAGTGGCCTATAAGCCACAAGTCAATCAGCTTTTTTGCCAATTTTTTCGTGCTCCCTCTCCTACCTCCATATAGTATAGTCATTTACTATAGATTAGCCATAAATTCTGTACCTGAAGTCTCAAAATTTGTTCTCATCTAAATATCTTTGCACTTACCATTTTCCTCGACTGGAATTCTTTTTATTAGAACCTTGCATCATTCATACCTCAGTCCAAAAGTCACTTCAAAGAGGTCTTTGTGGACCATACAATTTGCAATGACTTTGGGTGAATCTCAGCTCCATCACTCTGTTTTCATAGCACACATTCCTACACTGTGAATGTATTTGCTCACCTTCTAATCTCTGTTGTCCACCCTCTTCCTATTCTTGGTTTAAAGAAAAAGAGTACTATGAAATTAGGGATATTAGCACCCACATTATGATAGTAATGTATCTAGACATATAAAAGAGCCCCATAGATGTTTTCTGAATAAAAAATTAGCTTTATGTTCTACTTAACATATACTAATTTGTGATTGTATCCTCTTAAAAGTAAACTAATCTCTTTAGAAATAGGAAAAATATTGGACTTATCCTTAAAAGACATATGCTATCTGCTTTTTTATTTTTACTCAAGTAAGGCTTTATTCTTAGGTTTTGATTTCTGGGAAGTTTTGACACAGATATAAATTTTTATAACACAGATTAGTATGAAACAGTATTTAATTGCTTGTTCAAAATAACCAAGATTTCAAATGCAATATAAAAACTTCCAAGCTTACAACATTCTAAAAAGTATTTTGTTTTATCTTGGGGTCACACTCAGTAGTGCTTAAAGCACCCGGGTCAGGAACAACTCCTGGTGATACTCAAGGTACCATATGTGATGCTGGGAATCAAAATTAGATGAGCCACATGCAAGGCACGTGTGGCTTACCCACTCTACTAGAGACATGCCATATTTAAAGAGAAATATTATTGTAACAAATAAGAGAAATATCTGCTAATATGACGATTCTAACCAGTGTTAGTTTGCTAAGTTAAATAGCTTGTAAGGACTGACATTTTTCTCAAGTTCTATCAGGCATTACTAACTCAAACTTGCCTATCTTGCTTCAACTCAAACTTTATCTCACACTTAGAATTGGATCCAATCACTATAGTCTTTTACTCATATCTTCTGACTCGTAACCGTAATGATAACTTGGGGTAATTTTCTAGAGTCAATGAATGGGTAGTCTATTAGCCTTACTTGGGTTCCATCAGCACCAATCTTGTTCAGGGCTCCAACAGTGCTATACAGAAAGTTAATGATCTTGTTGAAGTTGTCATCTCCAATACTCCAGGATCCATCCACCATAAACACCAGGTCAGCTTTGGCAGTTCTACATACTGAAGAGTAACAGTAGGTTTTTGAATCGAAGATAGAAAAAAACATAGCAGTTATAAATGGATGATGAAAATTATGCTTTTACTCTAGCAACTTAGAGTTCTTTTCCATGAAAAATGCACAACTCCTTTGATGTTCCTATTCCAAGATCAAGCTCATTATGCCTTCTGACCATCATTTGTCTTCTTCCCTATGTTCTTAGTCATGACTATGAATCATCCATCAAACATGTGATTAAAAAGTGGAAAAACTAATAATGTCAGACTCAAAGACTAGATATTAGAGAATAGAAAAATGTTGAAGTGATAAAGAGACAGAATTATCAGTACTCTCTAGTGTCTATTGTTAGAAGAGAATCTAAGATATTGCTTTGTGCACCCATTGCTCTGCTTACTGAGTTAATATGTGAAATTTTAGGAGATGCAAGATTAGAAGGAAGTCAGAAAACACAATGGAAACAAATTAATCTACAGCCATACATGCATTTGGACTGAAGCGGTCTAAAATCACATTCTGGCCTTTCTGAAAAATTTCGTGTCCTTCTATCACCACTGATTCTTGTCAAGAAATGGATACTACTGCTGGCGTGAAGAAACTACTGTCAGTAGATATTATTGTTATGAATACTGAAAAATAGACAAAACACACCAACAAAAACCTATTCCAATAAATATTCTCATTTAAAAAAATCAAGTGCTGATTCAAATTACCTGTGCTTTCTTCCCTTCATTATGGCTGAATGTTTTATCATGGAATAATCCACTTTTCATAAATGTAAATTATTAAATCTTTTGTCAGTTTCATAAAAGCAACCTATGAGATAAAATACCTTTCTCCTTTTAAAAAAGTTCACTTGGTTTTTGAATTTTATTAAATTTATTTTCTTTTGTTCCCTTAAAGCTAATTGTAATGTAAAACAAACCCTCCCTTAAGTGAGGTACTAATTGAGGGATAATAGGATAGTAGTAAGATCTCATGAGTTCTGTAATTTATAAAATTTTAGGAATTTATGGTTTGAATTTAAGATGAAAAGAATCACAAGATCTGCTAATTATAAGCTTATTATAAAAGAAAACTTTGTCCTCTGTTTCCAAGATGAAATCAAAATTGTTTTCATTTTTGAAACGATAGCAAAAACTCTTTGAAGACTTACTCAAAATAAAAGTTAGAAATAAAAGAATGAAATATACTAAAATGCATAAAAATTACCTCTGGGATATGAAATGGTGCTTTAATTTTTTTCTTATACTTCTTTTAGGAGGGAAGGGGGGTCAGGACATACTCAGTGGTATTTGGTGGTTGCTTCCGGTCCTGTGCTCAGAGATTGCAACTTAAGCCCTGTACTATCTCTCTGGTACCTTCTTTAATTTTTTTACGTTTTAATTTTCTTTGTGTATGTGTGTGTGTGTGTGTGTGTGTGTGTATCACACCCAGCAGTGCTCAGGGTTTACTTGTGGCTCTGCACTCGGGAATCACTCCTAACCTCTAGGGGGAGCAAATAGGGTGCCAGGGATGGAACAAAGGTCATCTGCATGCAAGGCAAGATCCTTATCTGCTGTACTGTCTTTCTGGTCCCTATAACCCCAACTTCTTAAAATTTGCAAACATGATCGTCACCCATTGCCTATTTTGCAAACCACAACACCCAATAGGAGAGAGAGAACAAAAGCAAATGCCCGGCCACAGAGGCAGGGTGAGATGGGGGGGATGGGGGTGGGAGGGATACTGGGATCCATGGTGGTGGGAAATGGGCACTGGTGGAGGGATGGGTATTTTATCATTGTATAATTGAAACACAAGCACAAAAAATTTGTAAGTCTACAACTGTACCTCATGGTGTCTCACTAATAAAATTTTTTTTAAAAATTTTAAAAAATAAAGAATTCTTTCAGTAAAAAAAATTTTTTTTTGCATAGTAAATATGTAACACCATTTTATTAACACAAATTTGTCAGTTTTCAAATTAAATTCATTCAGGAAAAGTAGAGTAAAAAAGAAGAGTAAGGAGCGATAGCACAGTGGTAGGGCATTTGCCTTGCACTGAGGCTGGCCCAGTCAAGCGGGGTTCCGTTCCTCCGCCTCTCTCGGAGAGCCCGGCAAGCTACTGAGAGTATTTTGCCCACATGGCAAAATGTGGCAAGCTACCCATGACGTATTTGATATGCCAAACACAGTAACAACATGTCTCACAATGAAGACGTTACTGGGCCTGCTTGAGCAAATCGATGAACAACAGGAGGACAGTACTGACAAAAAAATAATTGTGTTTTCAAGTTGTTAAAGCCCCACCATCTAAAACCACTGTGAAGTAAAGTTGAAGGCCAATATTTTTATTTTGTTCATCTTTATTCTTGCTCATCCTTCCAAATCGTGTATCTTCTATGAAAATTTGTTAATATTTCCTAAATGACACCCCTGCTCAACTCCAAATAAAAATTTTCAGACCTTAGAGAATTTGCATCAGAAATGCCTGACTAATAATACCAACCACTAAGATTCCTTTTTTAATTCAAATACTAAGAAAAAGCTTGTATATTGAGACTGGAGGTGACTAGTTCCATGAAGACAGAGGAAGGCTGGCATTCAGGTAAGTAAATGTATTAAAAGATGGAGGAAGATATCATTAAGCAATGAGGAACCTGAAATTGTACAATGTTGATGCTGGCTAACATGCTCAGAGAGATGGTGTACAAAGTAGACTAGTCACTAAAGACTTTGTACACTGTATATAGGAGTATGTTGAGGTCATTAGAATTTCTCCTTGCCTTCTTGTTACTAGTCTCATCCATTCTCCAACATCTAACTTCACTGAGTTTATGTTTATTCTCAAGCACAAGCTCTTCACATCTTTCTTCACTTTTTTTCTGTTCATCACATGTCAGCACTTAAGAGTTCCCCAAATACATATGCACTTAATTGACTCTATCACTTTGAGAACTATTCTGTTATTTATCTGTAAAACTCATTCTTTAAAATGTATTACATATTCATTCTCCTTAGTCTGAGTTATTAATTGGGTACAGCATTAAATATTTTCACTTTTGTACTGAATGCAAAATATAAAAATGTCTTAAATGTCTTCTTTTAGTACCCTGTATTTCAAATGAACAAGTAAAAGCAACAGAAATCCTAGACCTAACTCACATCATTATTTTTATATTATGCTTTTTACCTTCTTTTGCTGGTGGAATGGTTGGAGGAGAAGTAGGTGGCTGAGTAGGAGGTGATTCTGTAAAAAAAGACAGAAAAAAAACCCATGAATTAGCTAACTTATCTGAGGGAGAGAGGGTGATCTGGAGCAATAATTCCTCATGGGAGTCAATGATCTTCTCAATTGTCTTCATAGAGAATTTACTGAATTCAGTAACTACCATAAATCAGCCACTGTCTGTGGAAAGTGGCTCCAAGGAACCTTTCAAGTCCAGACTGAAGAACTGAAATGCTATTTTATCACAATTCACAGTTTACCCAGCAGGAGTCAACACAATCAAACTGTCAACTACAAAGCGACTTTAATGCTGATTTAAGGTGGGACTCCTGCCAACTGCTTTCACTCATATAATACACTTCATTTCCATTCTGCTTACTAAAGACTGATCATCAATCCAGAGTGTGGCCTCCACGCTCCCCCCGACACACACATTCCCATGATGTGCTCCCCAGGGCAATCAGATTCACTCTACTCTGCTCAGATAGTATCTGGGAAAGTTTCAGTGTTGAACACTATTGGCAAGGCCATTGGGTGTCTCCAGGGTGTCCACATTAGTTCAGCCTGGACGATGAAGGATGAGAAGTGCATGTACTGACAGAGATCTGGTGTGTTAAAGTACATGGAGATAGCTACATCCAATAGTAATAGCCATCTGTACAAATGAGAGAGGTTGAGGTCTGGCAGAATTAGGTAAATATTTGACATAGTTTAACCTTCTCTTCTTTTTATTAAGGATCACACAGTACAGTGCTGGGAGGGTTGAGGGAGTCAACCGGGTCACTCCATCTGTCAGTGCTGTGCCTGGTGATGTGAGTCTGGCAGTTCCATGCCATCCCAGAAATAGAGAGCTTATACCTAGCAGGTACTTGGGTGGTCACTAGAGCTACACCTTGGGAGGTGCATGTGGTGCCAGGGATCAAACTTAGGGTCTTCTACATAGAAGGCATGTACTTTACCAATTGCTACCTTCATCCTAAAATTAAAATTATCCCAGTTATATGAGGGGTAATCTTTGATTTTCAACGTAGTTATTCACTGAGGTCAACATCCAGCTTCTTAAGGATCAAAGAGCTGGACAGATTTGAGCCTGTGCAGACTGACTGTTGGGATGTGGGAGAGGGAATTTCTTCACTACAGAAAGGTTGGAAGGAATGGATGTGAAGTTCTCTTCCAATTCTAAGAGCCAGTAAAATAGGTTAAATAAAATGATTCACCATTGGAAAAGGTGAGATAACCGCATATTACTGATATAAAAACACATTTGATATTATTATGTGAAATGAATATCACAGAATATCATGTTTTGTTCCCACTTGTGAATGATAACAACAAACTATCTATCATATATATGCATAATATTTATCATTATATATATACATAGATATCTGAAATAAGTTGATAGATCTATCAAGTCATCCATCCATTCGTCTGGTTGTCTCTCAGTTGAATTTTTTAAAGACCAAGGTGGTATCATTTGGCTCTTTATAAAAGGGAAAATGAGGAAAGAGCACAGTTGACAATGTGCTTTATACTCTCTGTTGCATTATTATGGATATACACACATATATGCTCATGTATACATATTTTCCTTTGCTCTTTTAAGGCAATTTTGTGAAGCTTCGGTATTTCAAAAGTAAAAACATATTTGAAAAGATGCAAACACTAAAGCTAAGATTGAGACATTTTCTGAAAAGCTACCATAGAATACTTCTGAGGTCAGGTAAGTTTTGGAAGAAATGGGTTATATTTATAATCATTCATACTTTTTTTAAAGCATCATGAATTACAGTACTGTTACTGGTAAAATTTCACGGGCATATTTCAACACTACACCCTCTATCAGAGTTACCTCCACAACCTCAGTCCCTTTCATCTTACCACCCCCAATTTCCTCCCCTGTCCACCAACCTTGCCCCTTGGTAAGCTCGGTTCTATACACCAGTTCTCAGATTCTGTTGACTCTGGGAACGTTTTATTTCCTTAATGTGTCTCTTTATATCCCACAGATGCAAGAGGTGATTCTCTGTCTCTCTCCTCTTGGCTAACTTCATAATCATGCATATTTTTTATGTGGAAAATGGAAGTGGATCTTAAGTTCAGTCAATGACATCAACATGAGACTATGACAGCCAGACTTACCCATTCAGGCAGAATATCAAGATGTTCCCTTGGAGGGAGGGTGGGGGTGGGGAGTGCCTGCTATAGAGAGAGGCTAGGGGAGGGTAATGTGAGAGAATCTGGTAACATTGGTGGTGGGAAATATACACTGGTAGAGGGATGGGTGTTGGAACACTGTATAACTAAAACCGCACCATGTACCACGTACAGTTTTGTAACTGCATTGCATGGTGTTCAATTTAAAAAAAATGTTACTTTGAGTGAGGACCATAGTATACTGGTGATATGGCTTCTACTCTCTACTTGACATAGAGATGATCCCCATCACCAAGGTTTTGAGGGATGTCATATGAAATATTGATATTCATTGTTTCAGAAGTTGAACAAGAGCCAGAAGGTAGAAGTTACATGGAGACAGATGTCCCCAATAAAAAGAAAACATTTATATCAAATAGAGCTATCCAAGTTTGTTCTGGGTTGATACTTAACATTTGTGATGTTAATAATAGGAAAAAGGGAATTAGACCAAGCAACTAAGCATCCAAAATCAATTGTTTATCAAGTTTAGGAAAACAATGAATATAAGCAATGAAGGCAGCCTACATAGTATAAATTTGAGAAGGTTGACCTCAAGAACATATCTTAAGTGGCAGGTACCAGACACAAAAAACTTCATATTACATATTCTCACTTGAACAAGATATACAGAAATGTTTGTTAAGAGAAAGAAAATTGCCTAGAACTGAATGTGGAGAGGAAAATTGATGAAACTAGCATTGAAAAAAAAGACTCTGGACCAATGAAATGTTCTCAAGTTGCATCAAAGGGGGAGCAACTTAACTTTTTAAATAGAGCAAAGATCTTGCTATAGATTTGTACATTTAATGGGTGTAAATTTCATGGAAAGCACATTAAACCTGAAAAATATGCATGTGATACAAAATGTTGAATATTTGTGTGTTATGAAAATAAAATTTGATTTAGGAAAAATATAGGACTGGATTAATTGAATTACTCTTTCACTCTCTATTCTTGCCAATTACACGTGGGTGATGATTTCTTTATAAATATGCCACAGTAACAATAAGAAAAAAATATATGCATGAACAGCAGGACTTTCTAAACATCAGATTCACTATACTTGGCTACCAAAAGATCCATTATCCACCACTTACCTATTCCAGGGATTCTGAGTTTAAATCCAAGGTACTTAATTGAGTGCACAAGCCCCTTCCTTTCCCAACCCTCCATCTCCCCCACCCCCCACACATCCTAACTTCACTACAATTCATTTTAATGTTCATGGCCCTTGGGTCAGGAATCCTTAATTAAAAGGGATTCCAAGCAATGGAAACCCTCCTCGCTCCTTAGAACATGTAAAAAGTTCTTTGTTTTAATCTTGTATTTTGCCTCTCTCTTCAGAGCATCAGATCTGCAGCCAACTTGGAAAAAGAGCCAGTTTCCTAAGCAGGCATGTTGTCTGGGGTCATCCAGTGGGAACACATTGGCTCCAGGCCAACCTCACGGCCAGGCTAGTATGCCATTGTTGTAGTGTCAGGATCCCGTTCATAAACTTCATTTCGCACTCCTCATGCCACAAGTGTTCCTTATGGGCAGAGATTATAATGTGGGTCATTGTTACAAGCACTGAGTCATCATATAGCCCTAGAGTCCCTTGTGAAGCTTATATGGAAAATGGAAAAATTCCATGCAGATGACACTGGAGCTCATAAGCAGTGAATTCAGGGGCTGGGTAAGGAGTGTTAAACTTGAATCACATATATCCCCGGGGAATATAGCTAATATTTATCTAAGTGAAATAAAGTTTTTGAATCAAAACAGAATGCCTCCCATACCTTTTGTTCCTAGGAGGAGGATCAGAAGAGATAAGACAAAGCTGACTTACGTGTTTTTTCCATGATGCTCACGCTGGGCCCCTCAATGTCCTGGAGCTTTGTGTAAACACTGATTTTATATTCTGAATCAGGTTGAAGTCCATAGAAGCAATGTCGGTTTGTCCCTCCACCCACAGTAGATTCTTGCTTTTGTGTATCTGGAATGAAAAGCAAAACCAAATATACACATATAAAATCTCTTTTAAAACAACTACCAGTAGGTAATTCTCTTCTTTTGATATGCAGCATCTAATTGGATTAATTCCAAGATAAACAATATTTGTTTGAAGGTATTATACATTTTTTTCTAAAGAGTTCACATTAGGGGCTATAGTGATAGCACAGCGGGTAGGGTGTTTGCCTTGCACGCAGCCAACATGGCCGACACAGGTTCGATTCCCAGCATCCCATATGTTCCCCCGAGCACTGCCAGGAGCAATTCCTGAGTGCATGAGCCAGGAGTAACCCCTGAGCATCGCTGGGTGTGACCCAAAAAGCAGAAAAAAAAAGTTCACATTAACCACAACTTTTTGTGCATTAAAAATCACAAAAAGAACCTCACATTTTGTATGACAAAACTTTTCTGAGATCAGCCCATTGATGAATGGAGAATTCTTTATGTGCATACTGATTTAATTAGGCGACCAAATAGTTTGAAGTATTCATCTTTAATTTTTTTAAAAAACTGTTTTAATTGAGGTACTTGAATTTACAATATTATTACTCATGCTTCTGATACATCATTCCAACACCCATCACCCATCACCAGAGTGCACACCTTCCTCTACCAATGTCCCAAGGTTGTCACCCCGCCACTGCCATATAAGCTCAGTTCAAAGACAAGATTTTCAATTCCAATAACTTTGCCCATTTGTTGTTTCCTTATTATGTTTATTTTTAATCTCATTTTTGAGAGCTAGCTTTCTCTGTCTCTGTCTCTGTCTCTGTCTCTCTCTCTCTCTCTTTCTCTCTCTCTCTGTCAGAGGTGGTGACACCTACACATATAGGTTACTAGAACTAAGCTCCTGAAATTACACAAAATTACAAAGAAAATTATAAAGTAAAAATTTATTTTCAAACTTTATCTTTTTACAGGTATATGCATTTAAAAAAATTAATACTATAACTCCCCGCTAATGCATTTTAAAATTTACATGAAGTAGATAAATCTTACACAGTGTAAAATTTAGTAAGAGGAGAAGAGCTAAGAAGAATTTAAGGGGAGAATCTTAAAAGGCCTAAAGAATTATAAAAGTGTGTTTAAACATGAAAGAGGAAACACTGGCTTTATGTTAGAAAATATTATTTTACATCTACTAGCACTAGCACTCGTTGTTCATCGATTTGCTCGAGCAGGTCCAGTAACATCTCCATTGTGAGACTTGTTGTTACTGTGTTTGGCGTATCCAATATTGCCGAGAAGGCAGGACACTCTCGGTAGCTTACTGGGTTCTCTGAGAGGGGTGGAGGAATCGAACTCAGGTCGGCCAGGTCGGCCACGTGCAAGGCAAATGCCCTACTCTCTGTGCTATCGCTCCAGGGCTAAGGCATTTGCCTTTCACAAAGCTGATCTGGCTGACCCGGGTTCGATTTCTCTGCCCCTCTCGGAGAGCCCAGCCAGCCACCGAGAATATCTAGCCCACAAAGCATTTTACATCAGAAAATATTATTTTACAAACACTGCTTAAGTGTCTTCACTTAGTAAAGGATTGCAATAAAAATCTCTCTGGATATAAAAAGACCACCTTAAACGGATTTCTTAAATAGGCTTGGAGGGGAGCATTTTACAAATTTGGATGTCTCATTTTAAGAAACCATTTAAGGCACCCTGTTTTTTTTTTTTTTAATTTTTATTTTTATTAGTGAAACACCATGAGGTACAGTTGTAGATTTACAATTTTTTTGTGCTTGGGTTTCGATTATACAATGATCAAATACCCACCCTCCACCAGTGCCCATTTTCCACCACCATGGATAATATCCCTCCCACCCCCATCCTCCCTATCCCACCCTGCCTCTGTGGCAGGGCATTCCCTTTAGTTCTCTCTCTCCTATCCCAGAGTCCACAGCCCCCCATCCTATCTCCCCATCTCTCTTACAGTGATATGATTTAAAGACAAATTCTCAGCTTCTGTCACCTTTGAGTATTTGTTGTTTTATACTGTTACTTTCTCCTTCTGATGACATTCTCCAGCTGCAAATTGCCTGACTTAGTCTTTTCTTACACCTGAGCAGTATTCCATTGTGTATATGTACCACAGTTTCTTTTCTTTTTTTTTTTTTTAAATAATGGTGTCATTGGGCTTTGAATTTTATTTATTTATTTACTTAAATTTTTATTAGTGGGACACCATGAGGTACGCTTGTAGACTTAACAAGTTTTGTGCTTGGGTTTCAATTATACAATGATCAAATACCCATCCCTCCACCAGTGCCCATTTCTCACCACCACGGATCCCAGTATCCCTCCCACCCCCCATCCTCCCCATCCCACCCTGCCTCTGTGGCAGGGCATTCCCCTTTGTTCTCTCTCTCCTTTTGGGTGTTGTGGTTTGCAAAAGAGTGGCAATCATGTAGATACTAGGTCTGTTTCCAGATTTTGACTATCGTGAATAGTGCTGCATTGAACATAAGAGTGCAAGTGTCTTTTCTAAAGAGATGTTTTGGGGTTAGTGCCAAGAAGTAGAATTTTTGGATCATATGGAGAGCAATGCCTAGGTTTTTTTGAGAATGAACATATTGTTTTTCAGAAAAGGCTGGACCAGTTGACATTCCCACCAGCAGTGGATGAGGGTTTCTTTTTCCCCACATTCCATCAACACTGGTTCTTTTTAATATTTTTGATGTGTGTAGACTCCCTCTAATTTAACATGAATCTTCAAAATGTAATCAAATAATTATAACTTGACACAACAAGATGCATGCTTTTGATCACATCCAGGTCATTCTTGTGGACACCCAATTAGCAGCGGTCTAAGGGCATAGTTTCAGAGCTAGAAACTGTATGGTTCTCTTGGTCGTTGGGTGAAAAAGTGGTATTTCAGTATCTCAAAAGTTTCATTCATGAGCCCACTCATTTTCAAAGTCAACAGAAAGGTGCAAGAGCTTGGAACAGTGCAGCAGCAGCCTGGGAATCCATGGCTGTCCACTTCCCACCTGTCAGCCTTGATTTTTTAACTTGTATAATGCGCTCTTTCCACTGTGAAAGCTCAGAAGAGATTCCTCTGAAATCACTCTGAAAATCACTTTTTATTCTCTTAAAATTGTAACAGATGAGCTAAGACTTGGTACAGAAATGACTTAGGGTTACTCTAGACCAGGTTCTGCTCTAGATCAAGGTTCTTAAGATTTCTTCACTGGCAAACCATTTTTGCCAAGAAATGTTTATGCTATCCTGAGTACATATCTATATACAATAGCGATGAACTCAAACACTGACAATCACAAAGAAATTTACTTCAAAACACAATTAAGTTTTTTTTAACCCCCATTTCAAGACTAGGCTCTTAAAAAAAAAAACAGTCTCCAACTCCTGATGCCAAGGTTCATTTTGTTTTATCAAGGAGGCAAGTCACATACTGTCAATTCCACGTAACAATTCCCTGCCTCATCTCCACATAACAAAACCCCATCTCAACTCCTTGACTGAACAAAGGAAACTCAGCTGACTAGATGAGTTCTGGTTACTTTCTTCATTCCTTCATCCCAAATTAAAATTGCTTTATCTGCATGAAAAAAATAGTGCTGGCACTTGGTTCTGGTGTGTGGGAAGCTGGATTAATTATACTCCTCATTTCCTGAGGGCTTCCTAGATGCCAGGTTCTCTACTGGCATTTAACAACAATAAAGAATAAAAGTCAACCTCTAATGAGCTCTATATGCCAGGCACTATTTTCAGGGTTTTACATATATTAACATACTCCATAATTACTCCTAATATAAAGTGAAGGACTTGGGCCCCCCACAAGAGACGCTTCAGTCCTTCACTTCAGCACAGCTGGTAGGGCGTATGCCTTGCATGCGGGTACCCAGGTTTGATTCCTCCATCCCTCTCAGAGAGTCCAACAAGCTATCAAGAGTATCCCACCCGCATGGCAGAGCCTGGAAAGCTCCCCATGGCATGTTTGATATGCCAAGAACAGTAATAAGAAGTTTCACAATGGAGACGTTAATGGTGCCCCTTGAGCAAATCGATAAAAAATGGGAGGACAGTGCTACACTGCTAAAGTGAAGAAAGCAAAGACTAGAAAATCTAGTCACTTACCCGAGTTCAGATACCTAGTAGCAGAACTGAAATATGGATTCAGAACCACAATGTCCAGTCTCAGACAATGTTGCTTGAATTTCCATTAATGTGCCATAAAATAATGTAAGTCAAATGTGCGGTTTTCCAAATAAAACAGCTTGAGAGCTGCTGAGTGCGTATGAAATGGGTGAGTGTGATAGTTTGGGCAGATTAGATGAGGATCCCATAACACTCAACACTTGATCATTTCATTGGATATAACTGCCTGTGTCAGTAGCTTTAATCACAGAAGATTTTCAAATGGATTTTCTTCATATGGTTAGAGCATTATTTTTAACCTCCTGGGTAACTCATTAGAAGAAAGAATCACTGCTACTATACTTTGCTTCAAAATAAATGAAGGGCTACCTTAGTAATTTCTTTATCAAACACAATATGACAAAATGATAAAATAAAAATGATGCCAAAAGCCAGAAATGTAGCTCAGGAGTAAAACACCAGTTTTATATTGTGAGGCACTGGTTGCAGATTCCATTACCACACAGTCTAAGAATATATGTGAAAAAAGTTTTAATGTTACTGCGTTTGTATGATTATAATGAAAGGAATTTAACTTGATTGCTGATATCCAAATTTATTCTGTGAATATTAGCCTCAGACCCTCCACAGAGATGCTGCATTCTGACCTTGAACCAACCTTTGAACTTTCTTAAAACTTCCTGTAATCATCAATTTATAATGCAAACATTTCCTAAATTCTATGCATGGCTTATGTTCCCTGTTTCACTGAAACTTCCAGGGACATTCCAGGAGCCAGCATAAATATGTGCTTTTCTTTAATGTGTTTATAGTTTATATATATTCATTCACTTTACAGACACTTGACAATAGAATAGAAATGAATTTTATTGC